TGTTCGGCACGGAAGGGGCCAGCGTGCGGGGCACAACCCGTCCACGGGTCCACGGCCCATTTTTTGTTGCCTACGCACGGGTCGGTGTTGGGCCCACTATAGAGTCCATCAGGCGCTTCGCTTGTCTCCAGCCTTGGTGGACCCTTCATATGAGGCGCGTTTTGTGGTCGCTTGGAGGGGGGGGAGTTTGGAACCAGACCCCCCCCCTTGGCGGCGGCGGCGGCTGGCGGCGGCGGGGTCCATGACTTCCTTTTTTGGTCTGGCGCCGGCGCCTGCGGCGGCGGGCGGCGGCGGCGGGGAGCGTCGACGATGACGACGGTGGTTGTGGTGGTGGTGGTGGTGGTGGTTTGGTGGTGGTGGTGGCGGTGGTGGTGGTGATGGTTGTGGTGGTGGTGGTGTGGTGGTTTGTTGTGGTGGTGGTGGTTGTGGTGGTGGTGGTTGTTGGTGGTGGTGGTTTAGTGGTGGTGTGGTGATGTTTTGTGGTGGTGGTAGTGGTGGGTTGTGGTGGCGGTGGTGGGTTGTGGAGGTGGTGCTGGTGGTGGTGGTGGTGGCGGAGGTGGTGGTGGTGGTGGTGGTGGTGGTGGTGGTGTGGTGGTGTGGTGGTTTGTGGTGGTGGTGGGGGGGTTGTGCTTCTGGTAGTGGTGGTGGTTGTGGCGGTGGTGGTGGTGGCGTGGTAGATTGTGGTGGTGGTGGTGGTGGTAGCGGTGGTGGGTTTTTGTGGTGGTGGTGGTGGTGGTGGTGATGGTGAGTTGTGGTGCTGGTGGTTGTGGTGCTGGTGGTGGCGGTGGTGGGTTGCAGTGGTGGTGGTGGTGGTGGTTTGGTGGTGGTGTGGTGATGGTTTGTGGTGGTGGTGGTGGTGGTGGTGGTGGTTTGTGGTGGTGGCTGTGGGTGTGCTGCTGTGGTGGTGGTGGTGGTGTTGGTGGTGGTGGTGGTGGGTGGTGGTTTGTGGTGGTGGGGGGGGGTTGTGCTGTGGTAGTGGTGGTGGTTGTGGCGGCGGTGGTGGTGGCGTGGTAGATTGTGGTGGTGGTGGTGGTAGCGCTGGTGGGTTTTTGTGGTGGTAGTGGTGATGGTGAGTTGTGGTGGTGGTGGTTGTGGTGGTGGTGGTGGCTGTGGTGGTGGTGGTGGTTGTGTGATGGGTTGGTGGTGGTGGTGTGCTGAGGCGGTGGTTGTGGTGGTGGTAGTGGTGGTGGTGGTAGTGGTGATTAGTTATCGTCGCTGCGTCCCCGCCGTCGCCGGCGTCAGCGCCGGCGCCGGCGCCGGCGCAAGGGGGGTGGGGGGGGCACAAGGGGGGGGGGGTGAGTCCCCCCCCTTGGGCTGCCTCTGGTCACCGTCGCTGCGCCCCCGCCGTCGGCGCTGCTGGCGGCCGCCGGCGCCAGCGCCGAGGGGGTGGGGGTGGGGGGGGTTCAAACCCCCCCTCCCCTTTGGGAGGGGCGGCGCCAAGGGGGTGGGGGGTGGTTGAAACCCCCCGTTCTAGGAAGGGGGGGGGGTTCGGGAGAGGAGGGGTTTTGGGGGGAGGGGAGTCCCCCTGGTTTTGGTCGACGGCGCCGGGTGTTTGGGGGGGGGCCCCCCCCCGGTTCGAAACGCGCCGCCGAATGTTCCCAAGGCAAGCGCCCGTGAAACGTGTTCTCTCCGCAGTCCGGAGCCCAGTTCGAGCCCAGAGCTGTCCCTGACATCCTGACGTTTCACATTCGAGACAGACGTTTTCTCCTCGTCTCCGGGCCCTGGGGCCCTCATAGATCGATCGGGCTTGAAAAAAAGCGCAGAAAGATGGGGTCTGGGGCTCTGGTCGTGCTTCCTCACGATGTTGCAACTTCTCGCTACGTCGGATTTCAGGGGTGATCCCGGCCAGACCAGGAGTTCACGTCCACCAAGATCAGGCCCGTCCATACGCATGCCCGCCAGGATCTCAGACCTCGAGAGTTCTTTCTCGCGACGCGGCCCCCCTCGGCCCGCCATCCTGTCCCCACGACCGCCTCCTCTTAAGCGGTCATTTTCGGCGGCGCGCCCGGGGGGGCGAGCAGAGCGGGACGGCCTCCTCAGGAGGGAGCATGTCTTATCAAAAGCCTTCCCGCCTTTCAAGAAGCCTGCTGGGCCTTCTCCGAAGCCACAGGCGGGCTTCTCGGCAGGCGTGAGGACCTGTGAAAATCGTGTCGGACGAAAGGGGGGGATAGGGAAGGGGGGGGGTACGAAATCTGCTACATGCAGCGGGTTTCGGCCCCACCGCCAGTCGCTTTCCTCGATGCATTGGCGCCTCCGGCGTCGGGAGGCGGCGCGGGAATCAGCTACGTGGGCTGATTCGCTAATCCCATGTATTCCCCCGAAATTTCTGCGCGGTCCAGAATCAATGGGTCGATTAGCTGCCCCGATGCGCCCGTTTTGAAACGCAGCATGTACCGTGCTCAAAACGTCCGTATTAATACGTTGCGTGCTGGTCAACGTCTTGGCCCACGTGTTGGCGAACTTACCTCGCCAGACCTACGTGTTCGGTCTGCGTGCTGAGCTCCGTGTCCACACGCTACGTGTTGCGTGTTGCGTGTCGGGGTAGCCGAGACGGCCCATGGTCTTTGGTCGTGGTCCCAGGTCGGGTCGTGCCGGTGGTCTCTGGTCGTGGCCCGTGGTCTCTGGTCTCTGGTTTTTGCCCCTTTTCGCTGGTCTCCCAGCTTAGCTGCCTCGATACGCCCGCTTTGACACGCAGCATGTACCGCGCTCCAAACGTCCGTGCTGATACGTCGCGTTTTTTTCTCCACGTGTTGCCGAACGTACGCGTCATACATAACTGCGTTTTCAGTCTACGTGTTGAGCTCCGTGGTTATCCATACGCCACGTGTTTTTTCGTGCTGTTCTCCCTCCTGGACGTCGACCTGGTCGAGTGGCACGTCCTTCGCTGCAGTGCTTGAGGTTGGTGTTCGCGACGTGCCGTTGACGGCAACACCACATCACTCGCCCTCCAGATCTTCGCCTCCGGTTCCTGTCCGCGGCGTCCCTTTTCCTGTGCAAGCTCTTCGGCACCGCCTGCACCCCGGGCTCCGCCCGCTCCGGCCGCCTGAGGCCCCGCCCGCCTCTGCTCTGTTTCCCTAATCAAAGCTGAGCGTGACCCGCCATGCTTTTAGCGGAAGAGGTTCGCTCTCGCCCCGCCGCCCCAAAAGAAACAGTTTGTTCGTGCTGTGTTTCGAGGCAGCGACGGCCTCAAGTAAGGTCTAGCACAAAGCAGGGTAGTACGCAGAGCAGACTAGGCAGACTAGTCCGTACTTGTAGTCCGCTTTCAACCTTCTTGGGTGCGGCCTGCCAGAACGGAAACAAACGGACGTCCAGCACAGACAGTGAAACAATCAGAAGGAACGCGTTGACACACTTTTTTCATAAATGAACGGCGGTGGTGGGGAAGCTGAATTCGCATTGGGAACGCGGAAAGAAATGGAAAAATCGGAGCGGCAAAGCGCAAGTTGATTCCGGGTCTGATGACAGAAACAAAACGGCGATCGTAAACATCAAAGTCGACATTGGCAACGGGGAAAGCGCCCCGAGCGTTGTTATTACCGGAGGTCTAGTCTAGTAGTATATCGCTCCTCTTTGTGATGTTCCCAGTGATACCCTAAAGTGTTGTTTGGAATATTGTGCCGCCACGGGTGTCATCTGTCATGCTCGCCAGATCCTGGAACTCTTCCGGCAGGCTCTCTTGACCAGTTCTTCGAGCTGTGTCCAGCCGTGTCCGCGAAAAGTCCCTCCGAATTTCTCCCCAGCCCTCTCTTCCGACGTTGCGTTTCTTTCGTGCCTTCCCCAGGGCCGGTCTTGCATCCCGAGTGAGGCCGAATGCGTAAACGAGCTGGCCGCCGCGAGTGGTGTTCCGCTCGCCCAGGGCCTGCAGGGGTGAACTTGATCCATCCTCTCGGCGACAAGCTCCAGCGGGGCCCTTACGCAGCCATCCGACATCGCGATCTCTGTCACAACGTGAGACGTGAGCCACGCCAAAAAAAGGGGGTCCCCATATCGCCGAGTGCGACGCGGTAGCAGCGGCGTGCGCGCCTGGCTGTGCCCTGAAAGGGCCTCCCCTTGGCCGCGCACTAGAGGTCACTCTTGGGGCCACTCTTGCGTGTAGCCGATTTGGTCACGACGCAAGGCTGCCTGGGTTTGGACGCCCCCGAGCCTGCGGGCGCCCGTGCGGGGCGAGGCGCCCCCCCCCCCGGCAAGCCCTCGACAAGGCGCAGCTGCTTGGAAGCGTCCCGAGGCGAAAAAACGCCCGAGAGCCAAAAGCTCTGTGGCGGCTCAAGTGAGACTGCTTGCTTCCTGTCGCACGTGAGTTATTTTTATTATCGCGTGTGTTGCTCCTTGGGGGGGTATCGCACTTGAGTTTTTGGTGCACGGTTGGGGACTTTTGTGGATCGCTTGTCGCTCCGCTTGTTCTGGGCCACCCCGCTTCGGCGCGACACGCTTCCCACTTCCCGGTGTCTATGCGCCCGCGTGCCGAGCTGTTCCCAGCCTCGCGCCCCGCGGGGCGGAGCGACACGCGATCCGCTCGCAAGGCATGGCGTGTCGCCGCGGCCGCCGTGGCGACACGCTATCCCAGTGTTCCCGGCCGTACATCTTCCACCACGACCACCTCCTGCCCCTCCCCCCTCCTCTCCCTCCTCCGCCTCCTCGTGCCCTCCCTCGCCTCCTCCCCCTCCCCCTCCCACTACCCCTCCTCCGTCTCCTCGTCTCGCCCTCCTTCTGATCCTCCTTGCCCCCTCTTCCTCCTTGTGCCCTCCTCGCGCCCTCCTCCTGATCCACCTGATCCTCCTCGTGCCTCCCCCGCCTCGTGCCCTCCCCCGCCTCCTCCCCCTCTCCCCGTCCCGCTACCCCTCCTCCGCCTCCTCGTCCTGCCCTCCTCCTCCTCCTCCTCCTCCTCCTCCTCCTCCCCCTCCTCCTCCTCCTCCTCTTCCTCCCCCTCCCAGAGGAGGAGAAAGCCTTCCCCTAGCTGTTGCTTTCTTCTTGGCGATATCGCGCTGCCCTCCCCGCCGCAGGGACGCCCGCTTCGCCGAGCCCGCCAGGGCGCGCGGAGCCTCCGCCTCGCGGAGCCCGCGCGCCGCGGGGGTACCGGTGGACGCCGGCGGCTACGGGCTCGCCGGGTTCACGCGCAGCGCGGCCATGCGGCGCAGGCTGGGAGCGGTGGCTACAAAGAGGTCCAGTCGAGCATCTGATTAAGAAAACTTTCAAAAATCCAGACCAACGTTTCTTTAACTAACTTGCTGGAAGATTGGCCCAGCTTCTTGAGCAGGTTCGCCCCTCAAGCATTAGCAACAGACATTGGCCCACCTTTGTTTGAAGAAGCTTCCAGGAAGCTGGCCCAGATTTCTTAAGTGACACTTGTCATGATCATCTGTACGGTCGTAGTTTTCTATGCTTTGGCAAGTTGGGTGTGGGGCGAGGCCCTGAAGGACTCCTGGACTTCCTGCGAGCCGAAGCTCACTTGCGCGCCGTTTCGGCCCATAATCGTTTCATGAGGCGGCGGAGGGGGAAGGGGGAGGAGCAGAATTGCGTGCAAGTTAATCTGCTTGAGCTCAATGAAAGAACGCGCTCAAAAAGGAAAGAAACAGGAGCAGAACCAGACAGGCTCCCAGAGGTCCAAGGCTCCGAGCGTCATTTTGTTGTTGATGATGCTGACGACGATTTTGCTGTCGTTGCTGATGTTGTTGCTGTAGTTGGTGGTGGGGTTGTTGTTGGTGGTGGTGTGGTTGTTGTTTTTGTTGTTGTAGCTGTTGTTGTAGCTGTTGTTGTTGTGGGTGTTGCTGCTGCTGCTGTTGTTCTTGAGTTTCGAGTGCAGAGGATAAGCATTGCTGGTCCCCCCGATGACTATCGCATTTTTTGTTAAATTGCTCCTCCAAGGACTCGCACCCTGCAGTTTGATCCCAGAAAGGTGGTCACCGAACTGCGCCCCTGGCCGTCGGTTTACGGCAGCAGCGGCTCCCGCCTGACACCTCCTCACAATTTAAACTCGTGCTCTCGCACGGGGCCTCTTCATAATTATCCAGGAATCGCGCTCTCGCGCTGTACTTTCCCGTTAGGGTCTGCCCGCCCGACACGCCAGGCTGGGTTCTGCCGCTTGCGCTGCGCGCTGCTCCTAACACTCATCCTGCACATTTCTCTCGTGCTCCATCCTTCTCCCTCCCTCTTCACTCCTCCCCTCGTTCCCCTGTTTTAGGGGCTGCGCCAACTGCATTCGGCAGGTCGAGAAGGTATACCACAAGAACGGGCACGATCGAAGACGAAGAGGGCGGGTACCGATACCGAGGGTTTGGGATACGTGTTGGGGGGGACGCGAGCAGATAAGAACGACCAGTCTTAAAATGATAGTTGTTGCTGCTGCTGCTGCTGTTGTCGTTGCTGTGGTTGTTGAATTCCCATTCCTAAGCAATAGATATTGGTGATCCTCCCTGCCCGATAATCATACAATGAAAGTGCTTATCCCAGGGCTCGCACCCTGTTTTTTTGACAAAGGAAAGCGAGGCGCCACCACACTGCGCCACCAGCCCCAAATTTTACAACAACAAAACAAACACCACCAACAACAACAACACCAGCAACAGCGAAGACGACAACAATCGACTACACGTGAGAGTGACCCTTCGCCGGGGTGGTCTTTGGTGCTGGCCCAATTCAAAGAGGGTCGAGTGATTTTTCCTGTGGAATGAGCTTGACCTCGCGTCGGCACCCGCATCGCATGATTGCGCTCGCATCTGAGAGCGCCAGGTTTGGGCCCACCCCTTGCAATCGACAGCAGCGCATACGCGTTACACCCTACAGGTTGCATTGGTTACCCGAAGGGAAGCCGGTCGACGAGTCGGCGCGTATTCCGGCCCAGGACCAGTCCCGAATCCCAGCCCAAGTCCCGAAACGTCTGGCTTGAATATTTTTTGATATTTTTTGATAGTTTTGAATAGGTTTGAAGATGTTTGAAGAACCAATGGAGGCCCTTCAAACATATCCCAGGCTCTCGGATGGGGCCGGTTTTGGCCATGACGCCAGGCCTGGTCAGACGTCATCGCGATGCAGCTTGGCAATGCCAGACTTCGTCGCGGTGGCCAGCGGCAGCGTCTGTTCCCGCAGCGCCTTTGGAGGGCCCTTCGGTACGTTTGAATTCAATCGGCGGAATTTCGCGGTTGCCCGGTGGCGCAACACAAATTTTCGAGTGGCGCCCCGCCGATTTTTGACGCGGCGCGGCAACGCCGGCTTGCGCGATTGCGTTGGCCCCCCACGGGCGCTCCTGAAGCCGCGCACCAAAGGTCATTCTACCTTAGGGTCACTGCTACGTGTAGCCGAAACAACAACAACGACGACGACGACGATAACAACAACAACAACAACAACAATCACTTTACCCGAACGCTCAGTGTTCTCACCAGTGCCAGGGTTTTCATGCGACGCCAGCCAATACCCCCACTTTGTGGGGGGGCAGTGCAAGCTCTACCAAATATCCACACGACTCTTCGCCACCACCCACACCCAGCTTCCCGCCCTATGACGTTCGGACACTTCACTTCGTGGCCTGCGGACGACCGTGGCTACTACACTGGCGTGGAGTACACACCCACAGAAGTTGTTAAGACGTACACCCACATCGTTACACATGCATGCCACACGACGCACTTGTTAACCCACAAGCAGCTTGTTAACCCACAGAAGTTGTTAATGAACACCGTGTTGAACACTGTGCACATGGATTACACATGATCGACAATGATAGCCTACGAGATACACACCCACAGAAGTTGTGAGCCACAATGCTTTAAAAGCCTTCCACAGAACATCTGTTGCGCATATGGTACAGATGTGATGGATAGTTGATCCATCTTTAGGGCAAATCCTGAGGATGGGAATACACAAGTGTCCCGCATGGTATTTTGACAGGGATGATGGCCCTGGCAGGTGCGCAACCGTTGTCGCAGAAGTTCGAAAAAGTTGCTCGCAAAAGCCCGTTTGACAGAAATGTTTAAAAAAGTGTTGGTTTCCTACGAATCCGCAAGAGCGCGCGGGATGAGATTTTGACATTTTTTTGTTGAAAAACCATTGGTTTTTTGATGTTTTTATGTTAAAATCGCTCCGAACACTAAGCTTTTGGAAGGATTTCGTCTTGCGCGCGCGAATGTCCACTTTACCTTATTTTTTGCAAGGGATTCTTGAAATTTGATTATATTAGAACAAGAAATGTCATTTTATAGTGTTTTTTGCAAGGGAAAACGGATTACAACAAAACAACCGGATCTGATCACATCGTTTTACCTGAGGCTTCCTCACGAAAATGATGAAAATGTAGCTGCGGCCTAGGCGGCGCAGGGGGGGCGCGCACCAGGGGGCCCAACAATAATTATTCTTTAGAATAAATAATGTTCAACAACAACAACAACAACAACAACAACAACAACAACAACAACAACAATTACTAGCACGTGGGGACACACCGTTCTCACCAGTGCCAGGGTTTTCATAGGACGCCGGCCAATACCCCCACTTTGTGGGGGGGCAGTTCAAGCTCTACCAAATTTCCAAACGACTCTTCGCCACCACCCACACCCAGCTTCCCGCCCTATGACGTTCGGACACTTCACTTCGTGGCATGCGGACGACCTTGGCTACTACACTGGCGCATGGGTACAGTGATTTGTTGTGGTAACATTTTCGGAATTTTTGGATGAGAAAGTGGTGTGTTTTCATATGTTTTCTTGACATCGCATCTTGAAATTGTTGAAATCACAGTGTGTTTGGCAGGATTTCGAGGTGCGCGCGCGGCGGCCGCGCGCATGTGCCCCGCGTGTCATTTTTTGCAAGGGATGGTGGCCCTCGCAGGCGCGCAGACGTTGTTGAAGCAGTTCGAGGTGAGCGCAAAAGTTGCCCTCGAAGCCCCGTTTGATAGGAATGTTGAAAAACCATTGGTTTTGGAAGGATTCAGCATGCGCGCGGGGGCAGATTTTCAGAATTTTTGATGAGAAAGTGGTGTGTTTTCATATGTTTCCTTGACATCGCATCTTGAAATTGTTGAAATCACAGTGTGTTTGGAAGGATTTCGACATGCGCGCGCGGCGGCCGCGGCGATGTGCACTTCGTGTCATTTTTTGCAATGGATTCTTGAAATGTGGTTATGTTAGAACAAGAAATGTCATTTTATATTGTTTTTTGCAAGGGAAAGCGGGGGGGAACAAAACAACCGGATCTGGATCACATCGTTTTGTCAAGGGTTTTCGCTCGAAAATGATGAAAACAAGGCTGCGGCCTAGATAAAACGGGGGGGTCGCGCACCAGGGGTCCCAACAATAATATTTCTTTAGAAGCAATAACATTCAACAACAACAACAACAACAACAACAACAACAACAACAACAACAACAACAACAACAACAACAATTACTAGCACGTGGGGACACTCCGTTCTCACCAGTGCCAGGGTTTCATAGGAGGCGGGCAATACCCCCACTTTGTGGGGGGGCCGGTTCAAGCTCTACCAAATTTCCAAACGACTCTTCGCCACCACCCACACCCAGCTTCCCGCCCTATGACGTTCGGACACTTCACTTCGTGGCATGCGGACGACCGTGGCTACTATTCAGGGCCCCGCGGCCGACGACGACGGCGTGCGCGCGCGAAGAAAAAACGAATGTGTCCCGCATGGTATTATTTGACAGGGATGATGGCCCTGGCAGGTGCGCAACCGTTGTTGCAGAAGTTCGAAAAAGTTGCTCGCAAAAGCCCGTTTGACAGAAATGATTAAAAAGTGTTGGGTTTCCTACGAATCCGCAAGAGCGCGCGGGATGGAATTTTGACAATTTTTTTGAAAAACCATTGGTTTTTTGATGTTTTTATGTTAAAATCGCTACGAAAACTAAGGTTTTGGAAGGATTTCGTCTTGCGCGCGCGAATGTCCACTTTACCTCATTTTTTGCAAGGGATTCTTGAAGTTTGGTTATGTTAGAACAAGACATGTCATTTTATATTGTTTTTTGATAGGGAAAGCGGGCGTCAACAAAACAACCGGATCTGGTACACATCGTTTTGCCTGAGACTGCCTCACGAAAATGATGAAAATGTGGCTGCGGCCTAGGCGCGGCGAGGGGGGCGTGCACCAGGGGGCCCAACAATAATTATTCTTTAGAAGTAATAATATTCAACAACAACAACAACAACGCCTCCCGCCTGATATTTCCTCACAATGTAGTATCGGATCGCGCTCTCGCGCGGGACTCCCTCACAATTTATACAGAAATCGCGCTCTCGCATGAGACTTCCTCGCCATTTCTTCGCCCGTGATTTCGACACTCAGGGATCACGCTCTCGTTGCGGATTCCCCCACGATTTACTAGGGAATCGCGCTATCGCTCGAGATTTCCTCGCGATTCATGCAGTAATCACGCTTGTGTGCCGCCTGCTCGACCTGGCCGCTAAGGCCCGCCTTCCCGACCCGACTGCCAGGGTCTATTCGCCTGTCTGGTTCTGCCACGGATTTTCTTCTCCTAGAACCCTTCCTGCGAATGCCGTGCTCCATCCTACTCCCTCCCCCTTTGCCCTTTCCTTCCATCCGTCTGCTCTTCCCATGCCTCAGGGGCTGCACGTCGAAGGCAAGAAAAGTATATCACCTTTAAAGGGCAGGTATCGAGGGTTTGTTGAATGGCCCGCGAGCAGATACGAGCGGGCAGTCTTAAAGTGATTGTTGTTTTTTTTGTTGTTGTCATTGTTGGTGATGTTGTTGTTGATGATGATGATGTTGTTGTTCTTGAACTCTCACTCTTGTTGAAGAATAGCTATTGTTGATCCCCTCCACCGGTGCACATTGTGTGTTTCATCTGGAGTGCTCCCCTCGGGGCTCGTACTCTGTATTTTAGGAGGGGAATTCTTCATGCTCAAGGTGTGCCCGCGGCCCCCTGGCTACAACAACAACGACTCCTGCTGAATATTTCCTCTCCGTTTATTCCAGAATCGCGCTTTCGCTTGGGACTCCCTCAGACTGTATGCAGGAATCGCGTTCTCGAGTGGGACTTCCTCGCAATTTATTCAAAGGCCGCGCCCTCGACACAGGAATCACGCGCGCTTTCCCTATGGCCTCTGACACGATTTATTTGGAAATCGCGGTATCGCTCGAAACTTGTTTACGATTCATGCGAGACTCACGCTTCAGCAACCCCCCTGCTCGACCTGGCCGCCTTGGCCCGCCTTCCCGACCCGTCCGCTAAGGTCTGCCCGCCCGATCTGCCCGATTGGTTCTGCCACGTGTTTTCTGCTCCTAGCCCCCTTCCTGCTATTTTCTCTCGTGCTCCATTCTTCTCCCTCCCCCTTCCATCCGTCCTCTCTTCCCCTGTTTCAGGGGCTGCGCTACATGCACGTGACCGGTAAAGAAGATGTACCCCCAAGGTGGTACGATCGAAGAACGAGAGGGCGGTGCCGAGGGTTTGTGGGATATACGTGTTGAATGGTACGCGAGCAGATGGGAGCGAACAGCAAAAAAGTAATGGTTGCTGTTGACTCTATTTTCGGCCTCTGGGGGCCTTCAACGGGCCGCGGGACCGTCAAAACACGACTCTGGATGAAACACCGTCCATAGGGAAGTTGTCTAGACCTCCGGGGGCCCACGCATCGAACAATTGGAGCGCCGGATGTCTGGGCTCGCGTCGTGAACAATAACATCACGGCGCGAGGTTTTTGGCCGTTTTCGGCCTCCCGGGGCCCTCGCCGGGCCCTGGCAGTGTCAAACAACGACTCGGGATGCAAAGTTTGCCCTGGGTAAACTTCGGGGACCTTCTATTTACTATTTAGAAAATCGCGACATTCCGTCATGTCTGGGAAGGTGCCGATACCGCCATCCACCCCGCGTCGTCTCCACGTCGTCACGGCTGGATTCGTTTTGGAATTCTCATCAGGGCGCACCCCTGGAGAGTTTACCCCCCCAAGGCGTGAGAGGCATCACACTCCTATCCAGGGGCGCAGGTACGTTCAAGTGTTCGGCGAGGCTCCCAGGGGGATGCGTGTAGCGCCCCCCCCTTCAGTTCAGGGGCAACGGCAGGGGGGTGAATAGTCTCAGGGGGGAGCGCATCGATCCCCAATCGCCCATTCATCGCAGTTTCGCTGTCTGGGGCGCATTGCCGATTTATCAACGATGTATCTCCAATTCCAGGGCGGTGTTTACTAATTACCTCCTTGTCCCCTCAACATGGATTTCTGGGAGGTCAGCATTGACTGCTGGCTGCCTGTCAAGAGCTCAAGAGCCGCCAATGCGGACCCCCTTCAATTGGTTGATTTGCAGGAAGTCTCCTCCAGTGGCTTTACAGGGTCGGCTTGTCCCCTCGCCCCCATCGGCCCCCTCAGCCCTGGGCTGTCCGCACCACTCGCCTCCCTGAGCCAGTCCCCTGAGCCAGTCCCCCCCCGCCCCCGAGACATCTGGCGCTTCGATTGTTTTTGAAGACGCGGCCCACCGACCCCTCGACCCCTCCCCAGGGGCCAGTTCTCATCCCGAGCGGTTGTTCGACGGCCCCGCAACCGGGCAAAGGGGCCCCGAGAGGCCCAAGAAGCGAGGAACAAAACGGCCTCCGCCACGTTTTGGTTAGCCGAGGCGCTGGATGTCTGGGTCCCTGTCGTTCCCCCTCCGCTGGGCTGCCCGTCCCTTTTGCCCCCATCGGCCACGCGCAGAGGGGGGTAGACTGGGGGAGGGGGGAAGGCTTCTGAGAAGCACCCTTGCTGCTCAGGAGGCGCGGGCCTTGCCTGCAGACGTAGGGTCGGCGCCTTCTATAAGCAGCAGCCTCCTTCCAAGGAGCCTTTCCCCCTCCCCCTCTCCCCCTGTGCGCGTCGCCAACCCCCCCCCTCCCCAACCCCATCCGAGGCTCGCCGCCATCGGGGCCGTCCTCGCTGCCGCCCTGGACCACCTCGCCAGCCCGCGGCCTCGGCTGTCCCCGCCGATCGGGTTCGGTGGCCGAGTTCGGCCTGCCGAGGTGCGGTAAGCGTGCCAGGGTTGTGGGAGGTAGAGGAGGAGGAGGAGGAGGAGGAGGAGGAGGAGGAGGAGGAGGAGAACCAGTGCAAGCTCAAGACTCACCACGGATTCTAATGACCCCCCTTCCAAGTTCCTCCTCATACGTCCCTACAAGGATTTGTTCTCACTGAGGGAAGTGCCCCGTTAGAAGACAAACGTACGAACGTCCTGCACCGCGCCAGAAAACCATTCTGGGACTTCAACACCGCGACACAGCATGACTGCTGCGCCCTGGAAGTCCCACATCGTCCCAGAATTCCATGATCGGGGCGTCAACCACAAGACGCCTTGAAACTGCTGTAAACTCTTAAAACGAATGTGCGCGGCGCTGAGGCGAGAACAACATAATGAAAAGGAGCCGCCCTCCAGCAGTGAAGCTCTTGCAAACTTTTAAGATGAATGTGCGCAGCGCTGAGGCGAGAGCCACATTTTGAAAATGGCCCGCCCTATGTTCAGGAATGTCGTGCCAACTTTTAAGATGAATGTGCGGAGCTCTAAGGGGAGAGCCACATTTTGAACATTTCCCGCCTTGCATCTATGAGACTCTTGCAAGCTTAAGACGAATAAGCTCGGTGCTGCGGAGAGATCCACATTTTAACAATGATCCGCCTTCCATCCCAGAAACTTTTGTATTTCCTATGGTGAGGCACTTTCGGGCGAAATGCCCATCCCGACCTACCGACCCGTCTCAAGGTGCGACAGGAAGGAACGATCTACAATGAACAGGGGTGGAGGAGGAAGGAATGAGGTTCTACATCTGACGCCTCGTGTTGTTCGATGCGGTGGCCCGCTGACGCGCTCGACTCCTCCTCCGTGCTTGTGTTTATCATCTAGGGAGGTTCATTGACGGTCACGGTCCCCGTAACCAGCTCAAAACGGCGAGCGAAAAGAGCAGTGACTTCACGCAGTATGGATTTAACATTTCAGACTAAAAGGTCCGCTGGTGATTCACAACCAAATCCCAGATCCCGCGCGTCTTGAGACAAACTTTTTTGATCCGCGGGTCGAGAGCGCACCTCTTCCGGTCGAAGCTAAGCGGGCCGCGCCCAGCTTGAATTAACGAGAGGGGGGTAGAAGGAGGGGCCTCACATCAAGGCCTGGAGGGGGCAAAGCCCTGGAATCAGGCGGTACCGAGGACAATGTGCTTGCAAAGGAACGCTTTGGACAGGAACCCGGCGGCGAAGTACCGGAAGAAGCAACATGTTGTGGTGGTGGTGCCGTCAACGGCGCGTCGTACACCAGCCTCAAGTGACGGCAGAGGAGGACTCGCCTTGTATCCAAGGGCCCAGGGAAGGTAGGGAGCATCGCTGAGCCGAAGTGCAACGTTGTGCCACCGAACAGGATGCGGGAGCAGGGCCGTGGTTGTCCAAGGTGCCACAGACCCAGGGTGCGGGAGCCACCGTCAGAGGCGCGGCAGCCAGGCCATGCCAGGCAGATGCCGCCGTTGACCGACAGGGTGCCGGTGTGCTGCAGGGTGGAAGCCTGCCCTGCAGTGGCGAGCGCGAAGAAACGGGCCGAAGCCGCGTCTTTAGACAAACACGACGGACGGCTTTTCGAAATTTCGGCCTTTGCATGGGGGCCCGTACTGGGCCCTGGGGCCGTCAAACAACGATTGAGGACGAAACATTTGTCCTGTGGAAGGGGTCGAGACCTTTGGGGGTCGACGTCGGGGAAAAAATCATGCCGTCGGGGGTCTGGGAGCCGTGTGTTGCCTTTTGGGCCTTGTGGGGGGCCTCTTCCGGGTCCTCCTTTTCAGGAGCGAACAGAAAAGATGTGCGCGTACACGTTCGTTCGCGTGCTTCGAGGGTATTCGCTGCGCGAACGTCGTGATTCGAGACTGGCCTCGCGTTCTGGGGGGCCGCATCCATGTGAGGCATTCAAGAAAGGGCTTCGCCTTCGAGGGTCGAAGGAGTTGATATCTGATAGATGCTCCACGGCGGAAGGCGGGCCAAGGTCGGCGGAAGGCGGCGGAAGTAAAACGAGGCCGCCTCCTCCAGCGGAAGCCGGCGGAAGGCCGGCGGAAGTCGGCGGAAGCAAACATGGGCCTCCCACGAGATGGCAAAGTGTTTTTTGTTCTGGGCTTCTTTTTCGACCCGCCATGTGCATGGCTGGGCGCGTGCGTCTCTTGCCAGATAGGAAAAGGGCGGGTTACGAAATCTGCCAAATGTAGCTGGTTTCGGCCCCGCCGCAGGGCCCATTTCTCGATACATGAACGCCTCCCGGCGCCAGGAGGCGCCATGAAAACCAGTTAGGTGAGCTGATTATCAACCCTACCCTTTGTCATCCTGTTCCCGATTTTGTAGGCTATCTCTCTTTGGGACCCCCCCTAGGCTGCCTTCGGCCAGCTGTTGCCCGCATCGGCTGCTTTGGAATGCGTCCCTCGGATCCCCGAAGCCGCCCTTCGTGCGTGCTGTGCCCAGCTTCCCTGGCGGCTCTACCGGAGCTGCGGGGCACTTGGAGAACGACGATGTGGCTGGAATCGCAGACGTTATAAAACGGCATGCACATACACTTTTGGAGGTCCGCGCGGATTTCTTGATTTGCGCTGGGCCGCGCTCCCCGGCGCGCGCCGGTCCAAGAAACCCGCGCGGAGCTCCACAAACTTACGTTTATTTTGCAGTTCGACCTCCCTCAGTTGAGAGCTGGTCCTTGGGAAAGCCCGGAGATGCTCTCCCCCCCTGGGGATGCTCTCCCCCCCTGGCGATCAAGATCCAGGTTCGATCCGTGCCAGGGGGAGGCATCGGCCCCAGTCGCCCATTGATCTCCGACAGGGGCCTGATAGCCCTCCCCGCCCAGGAGCGTGCGGATTCGCAATCTGGGGCCCAGCGAAGATTCTGGGTCGATGTCCCCCACCCCCCTCTGAGTTGGTCTCCCCCTGACGCTGCCTCTCATTCGAGGGTTCAGGCTTCCCGATATCTGGCCCTTCTGGGAACTTCAGTTTGTCGGGGGTTCCCCTGGGGCCTGCGAGGCCTTTTGGGGGCCTTGGGGCCGCCTCGGGGGTGTCAGGGGAACCCGAGGGGGGAGGGGTCGTGCCTGGGAGGTGTTGGGGCCGTCTTGGGGGCTGTCTTGGGGCAAGTCTTGGGGCCAGTCTTGGGCCGTCTTTGGGGCCGTCCCACGGGCCACCTTGGGGCCGTCATGGGGCCGTGGTGACCCAGTGGGATGGGGGCCTCCATGGAGCCTCTGGGCGCAGCCTGGGGCTGGTCGCTGGCCCCAGGGCTGTCCAGGGACCCAGATTGGAGGCCATGCCGCGCTCTGCGTGCGACAGCAAGCCAGTGTACGGGCGCCAGGCGACACGTCGGTCGACTGGAACAACTTGCTCATACATAGTCTCTGTCGGCACAAGGTGGCGCCTATAGACGTGCGAGTTTTGAAATCAACGCTCAAATGGATGAATACTGTGTGGAATTTCGCCCTGGATGATGGTACCCAGCCGCTGAAGTTCTACATGAACGCGCGCCCATCGGCTGAATGGGGCATCGCGCAGCTCATCGGACACCACACGGACAACCGTAACTCTTCAGGTTGGCGTCACCAACACGGAGGAAACAGGACTCATTGGGAGGACTTGTTCGACACAGCCGACCTGGAATGGAAAATCTCATTGGACCAGGATTCGCAATGTTGGCGTCAGAGACAGACTTCTTTATTATTGGCAATCGGGGATCACGTTGGTTTGAATATGAAACCGTTTTTCCCCGTGCTGGCGTCTATGCCGACCGCCAAAAAGAACGGGAAGAAACGGAAGGCACAGATGGAGCAGATCGACACGCAACATTGGCACCTGCTTTGAGATATGCCCGGTGGGACGGCGCAATACTGGGCAACAGATCTTTGTTTAGGACGCACCTGCACGGTACATATAGATACGGACAGTCAAAGATTGGCAGATATTCTTGCGGGCAGGGCGAAGCAGGAAGAGCACGCCCATGACCTCACAATGGACATCTCGACGAACATGGCGGACATTTTCCTCATTACGAATTGGGGGCCAAGAGATACAACAGGCGATCCAGTCATATGGAGACGGAGGGATGTCAACAAAGAAGCTGATTATTTAGCGAATTGGGCAATGGACGCGGAGGACCATTTCTGGTATTATATTGGCATCAAGTGTACGGCCGACTCGGATCTCAGACTGTTGGGGTGGAGCGATGAGGGGTTGTCGCAACGAACAAAATGTATCTGCATACGCTTGGACTCTCAAGGGCCAGCGCGCTGATTCCTCCATTGTGATCGTCGCGGCATGCGCCAAGTATTCTCCAGTGAAGGCGGCCCGGAGCAGCTTAGATGTCGAATGCTTAGCTATGCGTTCACTTTGGGATTTTCTTCGCGACTTTATTGCCGGTGGAGGGCCGGCAGGCATCCCCAAGATACCCCACGCAACGCTCAAACCACGTAGATGCTTGACAATCCGCCATTTTCTCATGTAGCTGATTCTCTATCCTTAGGTATCACCGGCGAGACCTATGAGCTCAAATCCGCTGCGAAAGAAAGAAAGAAAGACTGGAACAACGTTGAGATGCTGCGGTCGGCGTTCGGGGGGAACGCTCCGGTTTCGGCCGTGTCTGGGGCCCCCGAGGGCCCCCGCCCCAGGCCAACAGCGCGAGCATCGCGAACGTGTTGGATCCCCCGCGCACCTAGGCGCCTGGCCTGCTTGTTGTTGCTGCACCCGCGGGGCTCAGAGATCTCCACCTCCCATGGGGGGCAGTTTTTCGCCTTGGAGCTGGGGTCACGGCCCCAGGCCCACGAGAATGGCGAGGGATCTCCGCCTGGAGAGCGTTTGTTTACTCTCGGGCGATAGCGGACGGGCGTTATCGGTGGGGAGAGGGGCGAGGGGGAGGAGGAGGGGGAGTAGGAGGAGGGAGGAGGAGGGTGAGGAGCAGGAGGAGGAGGAGGAGGAGGAGGAGGAGGAGGAGGAAGAAGAGGAGGGGGAGGAGGGGGACGACGAGGGAGGAGATGAGGAGGAGGAGGGGGAAGAGGATGAGGACGACAAGGAGGAGGAGGAGGAGGGAGGAGGAGGAGGAGGAGGAGGAGGAGGAGGAGGAGAAGGACGAGGGAGGGCGGGGAGGAGGAGGAGGAGGTGGAGGAGGGGGGGCGGGAGGAAGAGTTGGAGGAGGAGGAGGAGGAGGACGACGACGAGGGAGGAGGAGGAGGAGGAAGAGGAGGAGGAGGAGGTGGCTCCCGAGAGCGTCCGAGCACCTCGAGCATCTCGGGCCTTGAACGGTGCTTTCGGGGATTCGCACGGCGTCGAGAGGGACAGGTCTTCTGCGGTTGCTCTCGGGTCGTCCCTGGCCCATTTGAGGTTTGGTCGGACGCAGCCACGATGCCCACTCGTCCCATCGTCGTCGTCCCATCGTCGTCGTCGTCGTCGTCCGTCGTCGTCCGTCGTCGTCGTCGTCGTCGTCGTCGTCGTCGTCGTCGTCGTCGTCGTCGTCGTCCGTCGTCGTCGTCGTCGTCGTCGTCGTCGCCGTCGTCGTCGTCGTCGTCGTCGTCGTCGTCTTCGTCGTCCGTCGTCGTCGTCTTCGTCGTCGTCGCCGTCGTTGCTGTCGTTGACGTCGTCGTCCTCGTCGTCGTCGTCGTCGTCGTCGTCGTCGTCGTCGAAGTCGAAGTCGCCGTCGTTGTTGTCGTCATTGTTGTCGTCGTCGTCTTCGTCGTCGTCGTCCTGTTCCGCCTCGCGCCTCCGTCGCCGTCGTCGTCGTCGTCGTCGTCGTCGTCGTCCGTCGGCGTAGTCGTCCGTCGTCGTCGTTGTCCGTCGTCGTCGTCGTCGCCGTCGTCGTCTCCGTCGTCGTCTCCGTTGTCGTTGTCGTCGTTGTCGTCGTCGTCGTTGTCGTCGTCTTCGTCGTCTTCCTGTTCCGTCTCGCGCCTCCACCCTCTGGAAGCACCATGCTCCAAGCTCGGGCCTGGCTCCTGTCAAGACTCTGCTCTGGAGGCCGTCTCGTGCTTCCCCGAGGCGAGCCCTGCGTGAGGGGGCCCCGCTCCTGCTGCGCCAAAGGGGGGCCGTGCCCACTGCGCGGCCCCTCCCGCCCGTGATCCCCCCGAGGGCTGGCTCGGAGCTCGCCCGTACGCATGGGGGCGCCCGGTGGTCTCTCAGGAATACCGAGGACGGCTCCGCCGGGTCCCCAGGGGCGGCTCGGGGTTGCCCCCTGGTTGTCTCGGTGCTTGCCCGGGGATCCCAGGAGGTTCCCCTTGCCTCTGCGTTCTGCTCCGCGTGGCCTTGCTCTGCCATTGCTCTGCGTTGCCCTGGGCTGATTTGGGTTGCGCTGCTTCTTGCGCCACGCTGCTTCGAATTGCTTAACTCTGAGTTGCTTTGCAGGGCCGTGTGGTCTCACACGTTGATTTGCATTGCTTCGCACTGCCTCGTATCGCTGCGTATTGCGTTATGTTGCGTTGGCTTGCTCTGCTTTGCATTGCTCGTTGTGGTTGCGTTGCATTGTTCTGCAGTGCGAATGCTGCGTCGCATTGCCTCGGAAGGCCGAAAGCCCCTGATCGGGGTCGCATTGAGCCCATCCAGACAGAATGCTTCGGACCGAATCCAAATCTGATGATGGACAGACATACTCCCCTTCCCAGACATGCAGCGTCGTCATCTTTTCAATGCGGGGTCCCATAAAGTCCTCACCATTTTTTTCCGAGTGCTGATTTTCATCCCGAGTCGTTTTCTGACGGTCCTGGGCTCCAGCGAGGGCACACAGAGGCCGCAAACTGTAAACATCGTCCTTCCGCGACTTTTCCTCGCGACGCGAGCATGTCTGGCTCCGCCTCTTGTGCATCCTGGCCAGAACTTCCCCGGCCGCGACCGCCGAGGGATCGGCCGCCTGCGCGCATCCAGCGCGGCGCGGCGCTCGCGCGCGCGCTCGCTTTATCTTCTGCGGGGCTCTCGCGAGCGCGGATCGACGCAGCCCGCTTGGACCCGTGTCCACAGTACTCGCCGCCCACCAAACCGCCCAAACCCAACCCGAAGAGTCCAATTTGCCCTCCATTCCCAGTGGGGGGGTGCGTCGGGCGACATTGAAACAAACACACGTGGAACGAGTACCCCCCCCAACCCGAAATTCGTGTCTTCGGGTTCGGTTGGGGTGGTCTGGTAGGTAGTCAAGCACGGCGTGCCGACACTATGCTCTCTCGGCGCGGGGCGCTGTGCTCTCTCGGGCTATGCTCTTTGCTCGGCCGCGGTCCCTCCGCCGTGGCGTCCTTCCTTGGGTCGTCGTTCGTTCCCTTTTTTTCAGGGCTCTCGTTCGGTCCCACTGCTGCCTGGGAGTTAGAGCGTTTGACTCTAGCCCACGTTCAAAGCAGCAACGCGCACTGCTTTCGTCTCCCACTTTTCAGCCTGGAGTTGGACTTTTGATTTTGTCCACCCAGTCAAAACGGAGCCAGTTGTTTGGATTTAGCACCCGTCTCACAGAGTCGGCCTATTGATAGGGGGCCGTCCTGCAGAGTCGACTCATAGATCAAATTCATTAGGCGCATATTATTCGGTCCGTTTGAACGACCCTGCCCAGTGACATTTTCTTAGCCCACCAACATCCGAACAGTGCCGAAATAGCCCAAATCAGTTATAGCCCGAGGTCGTGAATGGCTCAGGTGGCCTTCTTGCCGCAAGACCCTCCCAGATCAGCCTGCCTCGATCACTCCCGCACGAGCATTGGATCGGGAGCGCCAGTCGTGGTTTTTGGTCGATGTCGTGCTCTCATGCCGCGTCAGGTTCGGGAGCCCCCTCTCTCCCCCTCCGCAGCCGATGGCGGCTGTCTTCGGGCTGGCGAGCGGGGCGCGCGGTAGGCCGAGAGACCGAGGTGGCAGCACCCTCGTGATCACCTGGCCCGGCCTGCCGTACCACCCCATCCTCCCGTTCCTTACGACTATGTCACGGTCTCAGCCAGGAAGAGAGTCACATTCGCCAAGCACCCGGATCTCCGGCGAGATGTTTTTTTGTCAATCCGAGCGTTCTTCTTCGATGTCGGCCTCTGGGGCCGTTATCGTGCCCTGCAGGCATCGACAGTCGATCTGGGACACAGCAACATTTCCCTGGGGGAAGGGGTCGGGAGCTCTTGGGCCGCGGATTGAAAAAACAAATATCGGAGGATGTCTTGGGTATCCACCGAGAAGGGAAGGGGCCCTTCAGGTTCGTCGTCGTTTTCACGCTCCTGGGGCCCTCCCTTTGCCCCTGGAGCGCCAGAAAACTGCTCACCTGCGGGATGAAGGACTTACCCCGGGGAAAGCTACGGGGTGCAGGGCCCGTTTCCACTAGGACACCATTGTCCTTCGTGCCAAAGTATGGTCAGTTCTGCATCTGATGGCTTTGCTGCGAATTCTCGGTCTTGGGAGCTCTGTTGCGAACTCAGGGATGGGTGGGCCATGCAGCCGCGATCTCTCTTCCCGGTGCTCATGGGCCCGTGACCCTGCGGCGGGGACCCTGAGATCCGACGTCACGAAGAAACAATGCAACATCGTAAGGGATCGCAGCCGCGGCCCTGGACCCCATCGTGCTGCGTCAGCTTTCTTGCCAGATCGATATGTGATGGTTCTTCGGCACACAGCTGTGCGAGGACGCCTGGTGTGAAAAAGTTGCACCGCCTGGATCTCAGTGGAGGGGGGTCGCCCGGCGGGGCGCGACTTCGTGTGCCCACCGCCCGTGGCCGTGCTTCCGTCCTGGCGGTGTCGCCGCCGAGGCGGAGCCTCGCTGTGAGGCTACGGCTCGCGCTGCGGTGCGGCTTCTGCGCTCCAGCCCGCGGGGGTGTGAGAGTAAGGTTGTGTGGCAGGACTTGCTGCTGCTGCTGAGGCTGCTGCTCTACCTCCCATTTCTCCTCCTCCTTCTCCTCCTCCTCCTTGTCACCTTCAGGCTTTCTTCTCCTCCACCCTTTTCCTTGTAAATGCCTCCTCCCTGTGGCACCGCTGACGTTTCGGAAGGGCGGGCCGGGCTTTGCGCGTGAGACTTTCGTTCTACTTCTGATCATGCACCTGGAAATTTGCAACAGTTTTGCGGATGGAGGGCGGGCCGTTTTCAAAGTGTGGCGCCGCGCACATTCGTTTCAAAATATTGTAGGAGTTTCCTCTCACCTTCGCGCCTGGCCTATTCGTCGTAAAAGGTTGCACAAGTTAGCTGGTAGAAGGCGGTTGTTCCTTTTCAAAATGTGGCTCTCGCTGTAGCGCCGCGCACACTCGTCTTAAAATTTGAAGCAGTTTCAATGATGAAGGGCAGTTTGTTTAAACAATGTGGTTCTCGCTCCAGCGGTGGGCACATTCGTCTTGAACGTTTGAAGCAGTTTTGCTGATGGAAAGCGGTTGCTTTTCAAAGTATGTCTCTGGCTGTAGCGTTGCGCGCATTCGTTTGGGGTTTCTGCAGGGGCTTCACGGATGGAGGGCGGCTTCGTTTTGAAATGTGGTTCTCGCATCAGCGCCGCGCACCTTCGTGTTAAGTCAGCATTTGTTGCCAAGATGTGTTGCACTTGCAAAGGATCGTACGGGTAAAGTTCTACAAAGGTATTATGGCACGGTTTAGGGTGGTCAGAACGCAAGAGACGCGCTGATTCGCGGCGTTGAGGTCCCAAGGCTGCGTTATGGTACGACTGCGGGCTTGTTAGGACGCACCACTCGCGCTGATCCGCGGCGTTGAAGTCTCAGGGGAGGTGTGTTCTGGCATGATTGAGGGCTCTCAGGTCTTTGAATGAGCCAGTGTCCACGAAGAACATAAAATAACGTGTAGGGGCCTATGAAGAGGAAGTTGGGAATGAGCGTTTATCGGACCATCGGACAAAGCACGTGTGTAAGGAGAGCTAGGCGCCAAAGGTGGGTATCCAACATGCTTCTCGACGCGCATTTGGCACATGTTCTCATGTGATGTGCACAGGCGCCATACGCCAAGAAAGGTATTCATTACTGAGGCGCTTTATTTATTCTCCTTACAGGAGGATGCGTGCGCGGAGGAGGTGTATCGAACACGCGTCTGGCACGCGCGCGTCAGGCACCTGTTTTCATTGGTGCAGGCGCCACGGGGGGTATCCAGCATGGGGGCGCTGGGCTTTTCATGTGTGTACGTACGTGCGGGCGAGGGTGTATCGAATATGCGTCTGGCCCGCGTGCGCCTGGAACACATGTTTCCGTATGTAGGAACCAGTGCAATGTGGGGGGATCATATTACTACCTATACGACCTCCCTGCGGGCGATAAGGAGGTTGGGGGGGGATTGAGATCAAACGCCCACCCTGACTGACCTCCAGCCTGTCACCTTGATCTCATCTCTCTCTTTCTCTCTGTCTCTCTCTCTCTCTCTGGGTGGATTGGGTTGGGTGGATTGGATTGGGTGGGATAAGATAAGATGGGACAGTATGGGTTGGATAAGATAAGATGGATTGGATTGGACAAGATGGATTGGATCAGATAAGCTGGATTGGATAAGAAAGCCCGCCGCAGGCGCCGAAAAACATGAATTATGAAATCAGCGACATGCGTTAGCGCCTGGACGCCCGGGACACACAGGACACCCGGGACATCGCCTGGCCCAACTGGGACACCTCCCGGCCACCGGCGGACGGGAAACGGACTTTCGCTGCTACTGACACCCGGGACACCCGGGACACCGCCCCGCCCAACTGGGACACCTCCCAGCCACCGGCGGACGGGAACGGATTTTCGGTCCTACTTCGGCCTAGCTACAGGAGGATGACGCGCAGCTTCGCCTCGCCCGCACGCACGACACGAACACGAAACCGAAACCAATTCCCCGGAGGGGGGGTCTTCACTGCGATCTCACCCCTCAACCTCCGAGATTTAAGTTCCTAGGCGACTAGGGCTGCTGCGGCTCGAAGAGCGACTAGGGTTGCTGCGGGGCTTGGCCCCCCCATGAGTCATCGCGGCGGTGTTCAGCACAGTTTGGAATCGATGGTTTACGGGAAAGGAGATTCCAGCGCAGAGGGACGGCCAAACATTTCTGTCGGCTTGGATGCGGTGGAGCAGCGGAGGACAGCATCGAGCATTACGCCCGTTGCTGCACTGTCCGCCAGTTTCATCGTACCTCACTAAGGATAGACGTGGAGTGGTTGATGCCCCATTGGGCTGTAGTGCGCGATCTGAAGCACCAGGAAACAGTTTGATACTTGGAGCGCTTGGCGCCTACGTGGTCTACCGAGCATCCAACATGGCCAGGGCGCGCGGCGGGGTGCCAGCTAAAGTTGCTTTGCGAGCTCCGCAACAGGCCCTGATGGAGACCGCTGCCGGGCATCGCTGCGCAGAGCGGGCGCTGGCGGAGGCGTAGACTTGAGGAGGCACGCAAGGCGCCATTGCGTCGACGTGGAGCAGCGCGACGCGGAGCGGCACCAGGATTCTGACATCCACCCCTGAGAATCCTCTCCTCCCCTATTCCTCCTCCTCCTCTCCCTCTGGCCTGGGCGTTTTTGCTGCTGCGTCGTGATGGCTTGCCTCGTCCCTCCCTTTCGTTTGCTGGGCGCCCGCACGAAAAACTGCCTGGTCCGCCCTACTCCGTCGCCCGTGGGGTCGTCGTCGCCACCTCCTGGGTGCTCTTTTCTCGCCAGCCGCACTGGAAGTTGCGGTGCTATAGGTGCGAGCTCTATCAATATCAAGCTCGACGCAGTAAGTGGCGAGTATTTGAACCGTAGCCTGGTTCTCCGTCAGTCGGCATCGAGACGCGAGGACTCTAGGAGAGCAACTTGTGTAGGCTGACGCGTACACCAAGAATGCGGTGACGTCTACCCGGCCGGCACTGTCAGACAGTCGGCCGGAGAGGCCATTTCGACGCGATGTGGTGCAAGCTATCGCGTCCCCTGTCCCAGCCGCGTGGCCGATGGATTGGGACACATTCAGCGCCGATCAGCCGATTGGCGTTGCCTTTCTCCCTTTCCCCTTCCCTCCCGCTCTCCTCCCTTCCTCTCTCGCCCCCTGGCGCCCTCTTACGGCTCACAGAGTCCGTGACGCGCCCTGGGCTCTGAGTGCCGAGCTCACGATTCTGTTGCGTAGCTGACCGCAGCATCACCCAGTGCCTGCCGAATCTGTCAAGCACGATACGCACTCCTCCCCTCTCGTCTCTTTCCTCCCGCCCTTGCCTTGAGGCGGAACGCCAGCTAACACCTGCTGGGGTTGGCCTGCTTTCCGCCTCCTGTGCCTGTCCCGTCCTCGCTCAACCCCCGAATTCAGCCACGCGGAGCTCCAGATCTGGACCGCGGAGGGTTGGTAGTCGGCGAAGTGGGAAGTGCCCGTGATAATGTTTCTCGTTATGTTCGGTTCCCCGCCCAAGAGTTTGCACGCAGTAGCTGGTGAGCATGGTTTTTTCCGTGTCGCTGGAAGCGTTAATGCCCCAGGCGCCGCCCTGCTGTCGGCTGACAGCGGCGCGGCTTGTGGCGCCAGTCTCCTGCCGGGCTCGCCTGCCAGGCACTCCGCCCCACGGGCCGCCGCTTCCCGTCGGCCTATGGCCCCACTGTGGGTGACGACGGGCGCGTGCAGCTTATTCCGCCATTCATTCGAGATGATATTACACCGCCTGTTGCGTTGTATGCGGGTCTCACACGACCTTGCTTCCTCTGCTTCGGCATCGAGGCTGTCAGCAGGTTGCTTTTCTTTCCTTTCCCCCTCCTCCTCTTCCGCTTCCTCCGCCTCCCCCCTCCCTTTCCATTCAGTTTCGCCGATGCGATTTTGGGGTACTTCGTATCGTTCCGAGTTCTGCTTCAGAGAATGGAGCAAACAACAATCGGTCATAACGCTTTTAGCTTGTAGCTGCCCGAACTTCCGCCCAGGATCTCGGCCACGCTCGCAGGACACAGATTCTGCTGGGAACCGTGGTTTTTCCTTCTTCCTTCCCACGAGCTCGATTCCAGGTGGCGCTGGCGGTGTCGGTAATCCGCAGCTGCCGCCGACGTGTTGGTTCCGATTGTGCGTGGCCGCCGCCGTGTTGGCTCCGTTTGTGCGGGACGACGTGGTGTAGCACATGCTGTTTGAGGGTCCGCTTGCCGTGGGAAAATTTTTGTCTGTGACATGTGTTTTCCAGAGAGGCGAGGAGCGTCCCGAACGACTGCTTGCATCGTCCGTAACTCATATGCTCAAGCGCACATGGACCTGCTTCAGCTCGGCGGGGTCCTCCGAGAGCTCTCTCACCTTTCCCTACACCTCAGCAGCGCCCTGCAATCCTGCCCTCCGTGCCCCTCGCTGGTCTGCCCGCACGTGGAGTGCGGCTCCCTGACGTGCGGGTCGCCGGGCCAGGCGCCGGTGCCCTGCGAGGCTCGGGCGCCCGAGCCGCCGGCCTCGGCGCCGGCCTGGCCGCTGCTGGTGGTCTTCGTGGCCGGGGTGGCCGTCGGCGTGGCGTTGTCGTCACGCCTGCGCCGCGCTCCAGGCGGAGCGGCGGCGGCGCCCCAGGCGGCGCCACAGGCGACCGCGGCCCCGGAGCCGGTCGCCCCTGCTGCCGCGCAGCCGCCTTTGGCCCTGACGTCAGGCCCGGCGGCGGGCCCGGTGACGCCTTCCACGAGGCATGGCGGCAGCGCCGCGGTGCCCGGACATTCCTGAGTTTCAGGTCGCCGTGCGCTACGATGCCGATCCGAATTTTACTTGGCATCATCGCATTCTATTGCGTCGGGTGCGAGAAGCAGTGTGGATCGCCCTCACTCCAGACTTGGACCTCGAGAGGATCAACTTGGACGAGCGGCGGCATCGAGTGCTCGAGCGAGGGCAAGCCTTCCCGGCGGCTATCGCGGGCGACCTCTACGCCTTCGACCCGATCGGGCGCGAGGCGGTCGCCGGGCACAAGAGGCGCGCGCGACTGCAGGCAGCCGTGCTGGGCGGCGACGAGGACGAGGCCATGGACGCCGAAGAGTGGGTCTACGCGGACCTCGACGACCCGTCGTTCGGCACGCTCGTCGCCGCGGACGTCCTCGACGGGGACGAGTTCGTGGAGCTGGGCAACCGCGGCCTGGTGCGGCGCGAGGGCGTGGCTCGCGGAGTCGAGAAGGTGGGCCGCGCCCGTGTGGCAGAGTGGGGCGAGCAGCGTCGCGTCGGCGCTGAGGACATCAGGAGCTTGGGCGTCCACAAGGCGGCTGACGGCACGCGGCACCTCGGCTGGACGGACGCTGTCGGCGTGCTGCGGGAGAGCGACATGCCCGAGTGGAAGTTCGAGGGGCCGCAAGTGTGCAAGGAGCTCGCGGCCTCGATCCGAGAGGGCGCAGGGAATCCGACGTCCTACCACGCGGAGTGGATCAGGCTGTCGGGCGTCAACCAGAACAGCGCCATCGCCTACGAGCACAAGAATGCCATGGACATGCTGCGCATGGCCGCCAGCGTCGACCAGGTGGACATCAGCAACCTCGCCTCGTTCGAGCTCCTCGCGAGCCGGGTCGTCATGCTGGAGATGGCCGTGGCGCGCGACCCCCGGGACCCGGACTTCGGCGGGCTCGGGGTCATCGCCGACGGCGCTGCGGGGACCGACGGCGCCGCGCGGGCGCCGAGGTTCCGCGCCTGGGTGTCTGACCGACAGAAGGAGAGAGCGAACATCCTCAAGCAGTCGAAGCTGTACAAGGAGGAAGCCAGGAACGAGCGGGAGAGGAAGCGCGGCCCGAAGGGGCCAAAAGGAGGCGATGCGAAGGGCAAGGGCAGAGGGGCTGGCGGCCAAGGAGCCGAGGCCCCTCTGCCGGGCTAAATGGCGCCCGACGGCCCGCAGGTCACCAAAGCCGACTGGTGGCCTGGCGGGGAGTGGAGGCACGGAGGTATTTTCCCTCTTCCTGTGCCTGATGTTCGGCAGTATCCTCGTGGAGCCCCTCACTAGGTGCAGCAGAGGTGGTGGCGCTCCACGACGCGGCAAAGGCTTGTTAGAGATGCAGTATTTGGTGCCAACCAACTGGCAGCCGCTCAAGCAAACAATTCGCACTTTCGACGTTCTCCGTTGGCGAGTTCGACTCCTACAGCAGTCCAGCGCGAGATGTTGGCGAGCCTCGAGGATCGGGTGGGGCGCGCAGGCCTGGTCCCCGACGGACTCTCCCCAAGCAGAGCCCTCGAGGAGCTCTTCAAGACGAAAGACCTGTACGGTCAAGAGCCACGTCACCTTGCCAGTTATGATCCAGCTAAGCTGCGAGTGGCAAAGGGAGTGGTGGAACCCAAGGATGCGAGAGCTCTGCTGCCACCGCAGGCGGCGCAGAGGCTCCGACGATACAAGACGTGCATCGAGCTGTCTGCCGAGGAGATCGAGGCCAAGTTCGCCTCCGAGCCCTCGCCCGAGCCCTACTGGGACCCCGTGCTGCGGCGAAACAAGCGAGCCCGGCACGAGCTGTTCGAGCGCCTCCTCTCTTCGGGCATCCTGGTGCCCAGGAGGCGCCTCAAGGGCCGCATCGGGCTCTTCTTCGTCAAGAAGAAGGAGGGGGCCATTCGCCTCATCGTGGGCGCTCGCTACCCTAACGCCTGCCACAAGCCGCCGCCCACCACGCATCTCGGCACCGCGCAGTCCTTCGCGGAGCTCAACCTTGCCGAGTTCGCGGACGTGGCGGCGGAGATGGCTTCTCATTGTGTTCTACCTGGCGCAGGCGGCGTCCCGGCCCTGGACTTCCACCAGAGCGGCGCCGACGTGCGCGACGGCTTCTACCAGTTCAGCATCGTCGAGTTGGCCGACTGGTTCGGGATCGACGAGTCGTTCAGCAAGGGGAGTTTTGGCATCACCAAGGTGTTCGACCCCGAGCTGGGCGTGGACGTGGAGCTGGCCAAGCACGAGTCCTTCTACCTATGCATGGGGGCCATGCCCATGGGATGGTCGTGGGCCCTCTACTTCTGCAACGAGGCGGTGGCTTCCCGCGCGGCAGCCGTGGCCGCCGAGGGCTGGAGCAGCCTGCTCCGAGAGCGGGCCCCGGCCCCTCGCCTGGCCCCCGGCCAGCCCGTCCACGCCGTCTACGTGGACAACCACACGGGCCTGGGGCATAGCGCGGCGGACGCGGAGCAGGCGCGCCGAGACTTCCGTGCGCAGTGCGCCGCCTTCGGCCTCGACCTCCACGACGAGGTCCCCTGCAGCCCTTACCTCGAGGCGCATGGGCTGCAGTTCGACGGGCCGGGCCGCCGCCTACGGCATCGGTCTGCCCGCCTCTGGCGCTTCAAGCTGGCGACCGTGGCGCTGCTGCGCCGCCGCGTGGTGGCAGGGTGGCAGCTCGAGATCTGGCTGGGACACGCCGTTCACATGTGTGGGCTCGGCCGGCCGCTGCTGTCGATCCTCTCGCAGAGCTACGCCTACGTCGCGGCCCGCAAGGAGAGGTCGGGCCGCCTGTGGCGAGGTGTGCGGCGGGAGCTCTGGCTCATGTCCAACCTGGTCTTCACCTGCGAGGTCGAGCTGGATGCCCCGTTCAACTCGTCGGTCTACCTCGGCGACTCGTCGGACTACGGCTACGCCCTCATGGAGACGAGGGGCACGGGCGACGAGCTGCTGGAGGACTTCAAGTGGAGAGAGCGCTGGAGGTTCAAGGCCGCGCCGCCGCTGCCTCCGTCGCCGCACCCGACCCTTGGGGCGCTGGGCGCGGCGTTCGGGGTCCGCTTCGACGGCGACGACCCCGAGCAGGTGGAGGCGTTCGGCGAGCCGCGCGTCGTGGGCAGGACCGCCTGGGAGCCGCTGGGAGCCCGGGCCCGCCTGGCGCAGTGGGCCACCGAGACGGCCCGCGCCGCCGAAGCGGGGGCCGGCCCCGGGCGACGCAGACGGCGGCGCACGGCCCGAGGGGCCGCGCCGCGCGAGGAGGTGGAAGGCTTCGAGGCCATCCCCGCGGTCAGCGCCTGCTGGGACAATAAGCGGCGCCGTCACACGCTGGTGGAGGGCTTCTGGCACTGGAAGCAGGAACACATCAACGTCAAGGAGGCTAGGGTCTGTCTCATGGGCCTCCGCCGTAGCTTGCGGACCAGACGGGGCTGCCACCGTCGGCTGCTCACCCTGTCGGACAACCTCGTGTCCACCGTGGTGTTCGACCGCGGCCGCTCGTCGAGCTGGGCGCTCAACGCGCTGTGCCGGCGCGCTGCGGCATGCCAGATGGCCGGCTGCGTGGCCTGGCGGGTTCGCCACATCCGCACGGACAGGAACCACGCGGACGAGGGCCCCCGTCGCCCCCGAGTCCCCCGAGTGCTGGTGCCCACGAGGCTGGAGGGCGGAGCGCCCGTGGCCCCTCGGCGGGCGGGAGGCCGCCGCCTGGGCGCGCCCCGACACCGCGGCGCGCCCCGGGCAGCCCAGGCCGCGCTCGAGCTCTTCGCAGGCACGGGCCGGCTCAGCGCCTCCCTCAAGCGCCTGGGGCTGCGGGTTCTGCCGGGCGCCGAGATCAAGCGCTCCGCCCGCTACGACCCGTCGCGTCGATCGACGCAGCGTGCTGTGCTGCGCTGGATTCGGAGCGGGGAGGTCTGGTACGTACACCTGGGGACAGCATGCGCCGCCTGGTCAGTTGCCCGCTCCACGCCTTATAACACTGAGCGGGCGCGGCGTCTGGGAGCAGTTTCTGTCGACGTGGCGCTCTTCACAGCTGAGGTCATCAAAGAGTGTGACCGCTGCGGCGTGCTCCAGCTCGAAGTTGTTTCGCTTCGAGCCCCTTGCTGCCCTTGCCAGTCTGCCAGACGCCCGATATATCTCGTTCGATCTTTGCGGATTCGGAGAAAATGTTCGCAAACCAACCACCATCTTCACCAATGCCATCTGTCTGGACGTTCTGGGGAGAAGATGTGATGGGTCACGCCGTCATGAGCCTCTGCAGGGTGGGCTCAAGGCTGGCGCCTATTCACCCGCCCTCTGCCGAGAGTGGGCTGCCGCGCTATACTCGGCGGCGCCTCCTCAGGCCTTCGGCGACTCCGAGCCGCTCACCGCTGAGCGGGACACGGAGCTGGAGGCGCTGGTGCCGCGGACGCATGGTGCTGCAGCGAAGCTCGGCGAGGCTCACGGCGGGACTGACGCCGAGAGCCGCGGGCAGCAGTTCCTCGCACGCCGCGTCGTCGAGTTCGGCGGCGCGCGGGGTCATCAAGGCGGCCCTGAAACCGCCGCAGCGGCAGCTGGGCCGTGCGGCTGTCGGCGAGGAGAAGGAGCGGCTGGCGGCAGCGCGCAAGGCGCGTGTCCCGCCAGCGGCGCGTGACAATTTCCTGCGGCTCGGGACCATCCGCGACTCCACGAAGCGGCTCTACTCAGACGCGCTCGGCAAGTTCAAGTGCTGGGCGAAGCCGAAGCACTACGACCTGGGTAGTTTCAGCTCCACGGACTCGGCGATGGAGCACTACTTCACCGACCTGTACTTCGAGGGGTCAGGCCCCGCAGAAGGCCGCAACGTTCTCTACGGCTACATTCACTTTGAGACGCACCTGGATCGGAACAAGGCCAACCTCTTCCCGAAGGCGTCGAGGGCGCTTCGCGGCTGGACCACCCGGGCTCCTCAACGAGTCCGCGACCCCATCCCCTTCGGCGTCGTCTGCCTGATCGGCCTGTACTTCCTGGGCAAGGGCCTGGTCGGCGCCGCGGTGTGCCTGGTCCTGCAGTTCGACTGCTACCTGAGGCCGGACGAAGCCGTGTCGCTGCTCCTGTCCTCGGTGCTGCCGCCTGCGCCCCGGGCTGGCCGGCGCTACGCGCGGGCCTGGGAGCTGCTGCTGGGCGAGGCCGAGCACGCGGCGCCCACCAAGACAGGCGTGGTGGACGGGACGGTGGTGATCGGCGAGCTGCAGCGGTCCTGGGTGGCGGAGGCGGTTGGCCTCTGGTACCGCGCGGGCGGCGCGGCTCCCTACATGTTCGACCTGACTCTCTCCAAGTATGAGGCCCTGTTTCGCCAAGCCGCGTTCGACTTGGGCCTCGCCGATCTGGACATCTCACCTCACGGAGTTCGGCATGCCGGAGCTTCGCATGACATGTATATGGGCCTGGCGACGCTCGACCAGATCCAGAAGCGCGGCCAGTGGGCCCATGCTCAGAGTGTGGTGAGGTATTCGAAGCACGGCAAGATCCTTCGGCAAGTACACAAGATGACGCCTGAGCAGCAGGGAAAATCTTCGGCGGCGGAGAGAGAGTTTCCTGCCAGACTCCTTCGGGCTCTTCGGAAATGCTGAAGCCGGCTTCGCCAGATGCCTTATGGGCAGATATGGGAGTGGAGTCTCCTCGATCTCGGCCTTTTCAACACGATTCTGTTCTGTTGAATTCACGAATTCCGACTGAAGTGCTGCAGAACTTAGCGCCCGTGCGATCGGGCGTCCGTGCGAGTGAAAATGGGAAATGTGAATGATCTGGATGGCTACCGCCAGTCTGACCGACCACGCTTCTAAGTTGAGCCCTGGGTAAGCGTGCAGCCGATAGGGATAATTTTTGTCTGTGACATGTGTTTTCCAGAGAGGCGAGGAGCGCCCCGAACGACTGCTTGCATCGTCCGTAACTCATATGCTCAAGCGCACCGCGTCCGTCCCCTGCCTCCCACCTGTTCTTTTCCTGACGCAGTCGGTCGAGCCTGATGCGTCGATATTTCTCCTCTGTGACGGTTTCCTCGGGAGTGGAGTCTCCTCGATCTCGGCCTTTTCAACGCGATTCTGTTCTGTTGAATTCACGAATTCCGACTGAAGTGCTGCAGAACTTAGCGCCCGTGCGATCGGGCGTCCGTGCGAGTGAAAATGGGAAATGTGAATGATCTGGATGGCTACCGCCAGTCTGACCGACCACGCTTCTAAGTCGAGCCCTGGGTAAGCGTGCAGCCGATAGGGATAATATTACTATGTAAGTACCTGTGGACAGGTGGAATATCGAACGTGTGTCTGGCAGGCGCGCGCCAGGTATATATTTTCAAGTGTGTAAGCACCAGCGGGGGGACGGGGGCATCCAGCATGGAAACACCAGGTTCTTCACACGCGACAGTGCGTGCGAAAAGGGGGGCGTCGAACATGCGCCTGGCACGCGCGCGTGCACCAGGTATTTCAGCACGTGCATGCGTCAGGAAGAAGTATCGAACACGCGACCGGCGGATTTTCAATTCGTAGAAGGTGTACTTGAGGGGGGGATCCAACAATACGCGTCTGGAGTGGCACTTAACTTCACGCGTGCAGGTGCCGCGGGGGGGTCTCCTAAATGCGCACGCCGCGTGCCTTGACGCGAATCTTGCAAGCGCGGGGGCGAGTACAGCTGGCGCGAGGCTTCAGCATGACAGTGGCTTCGGAGAAGGGTGCCCTCATTTCCTTCGTGCCTCCTTGGGGTGCTCTTCATCCTAGGTGTCGCCATGAGGACTTGGGCCTTCGGCGAGGGGTTCGTGTTCTCGGCCCGCGCTCTTGTGGCCATGAGTAACCTGTGCGGCAGGCTCGCGTCGCACCGACGCGGCGGCGACCCCGCCACGGGCGTCCGAGGCGGAGCGCCGCCAGTTGCCCAGATTCGGCTGGTGTGGAACGACCTGGCGATCGAAGAGTCGCCGACCATGCAAGGTTGAGCGATCCACGCTACAAAACAAACCCATGGGGTACAGAGCAAAAAGAAACTCGATAGGAACCGGGTTGTGGGAGATAATAAAAAAGGTTGAACGGTCCACGCGGTGTCAGAAACCAGTGCCGTGGCCGTCGGGACAGACATCAACCGTGCCCAATCAGTTGGGCTGCACGTAAGAGTGTGACCCTTCGCCAGGGTGCCCGTTTGTCTTATAGATTCCCATCTCCCATGTCCCAAGAGGTCCCCAGAGTTGTTTCAGTGAGTTTCTTAGTGTGTAGTCACGTTGCTGGGCGAATGTTCAGTATTCAAGGGGTTTGTAACCGTGTGGCTCAAGTGCGCGTTTCAGGAAAAGGTGGCGGGTGGGATATCGACCCGTTCCCGCGTCGCCGCCCGGCCTCTCTTTCTGTTTCCCCGTTCCAAGACGGCCGTTCCCGCACATGGTAGCAGGAGCGTCATGGTAGAGCGAGGTGGAGGAGAGCCGGGCGGCGCGCAGGGGAGCGGGCCTAGCCCGACCGCTGCTGCCCCACAGCGTGCAGCAGCAGCAGCAGCAGCAGCAGCAACACCTGACATAGCAGCGCCTGAGGCTTCCAGCGAGGCCCAGCAGACGCGGCAACCACCGACCGAGGCGCCACCACCAGCACCGACAAAAGCAGAGGATCCGTGGACGCATTGGGATCCCTGGGCGAGAACGACGAGCAACAACAGTGGCAGCTGGTGGAACAGCTGGTGGAGCAGCTGGTGGGGCGCCGACGGCAGCAACAGCAGCTGGTGGCAGGGCGCCCCGGCGACGGGCGACGGCACGGTGTGGGTCCCGATCGCGCGGCCGGCCGAGCTACCGGTGCCGCGCGGGCTGCTGCGCGGCGGCGGCGCGCGAGCGGCCGAGGCACCTGCGCGGCCAGGGGCGCCAGCGCAGCCGGACGCCCGCGCCGCGAGGCCAGGCCGACTCCGGCGGCGCCGGCTCAGAGCGGCCTGCCCGCGGGGCTCGCCCAGGAGCGGGCCGCGGGCTCGGCGGCGACGTCGGCGCCCCCGCCGCCCGCGCCGTGGGCACCGACCGCGACGGGCGCGTCCGTCTCGACCTGGAGGCCGTCGGACACGCAAGGACCTGCGCCGTTGGGCGGATTCGAGCGGCTGGACACAGCATGCGTAGTGGCCCTCAGGCGCTGGCCCAAGCGCACAGGGCTGCCCGCAGAGCAGCAGGCAGGCAAGGTCAGCGACGGCGTGCCGATGGACTTGCAGGTGCGGCTACTACATCAGCAGGATGAATTGGACAGCGCAGAAGGGCCAAACGTGCTGATCGATTTTTCAAGAAGTGCAGAGGAGACCAGGACGGTGACGAGGCCAAGGAGAGCTTCAGATTAGTGCTGGAGGACACGGAGATGCGACCAGGAGAGACTCACGCCCAGTATGTGATGAGAAGGGACACGCAAGTACGAGCTGCAAGAAAGCACGGTCTCGACTTACCGGAGTCGGTCCAGGTACAGCAGCTGAGGAATGGAGCGAACTTCAGCGAGCCGAACGCCATCAACTTTCCGTCGATCACGCAGGGGCGAGAGGATCTGGAGTTGATAAAAACCGGGCTCAGAAAGATGGACGCGGAAAAGAAGACGAGTCAAATAAAGCTTCGGGTGTACGCGACCGCGGACAGCGATCGTGAGCAGGAGGGCGAGGACACCAGGGGCCAGGACGTCTACTTTGAATTCGAGGAGGACCTGATCATGGACAACGAGCACGCGGCGGCCTTGTACGAGGCGATCGCCGACCAGGAGCTGGACGTGGAGCAGGCGATCGCGGCGCTGGCCGCGGTGCTGGACGAGAAGAGGGAGAAGGGGGGCCGCCCGCGGAGGCGGGCGGAGTCGAGGGAGCTCAAGAAAGCGATCGCTCGGGATCGAGACTTCTCCGACTCGAAGAGGGCTGGGGGCCGACAGGCGCCGCGGCCAACCGCAGGGGGGCAGAGGCTGTGCATCGCGCGCCTCAAGGAGAAGACGAGGTGCGCGAACTGTGGGCAGAAGGGTCACTGGGGGAAAGAATGCACGAATCCTTTCAAGCCGAAGTCGGAGGTCCGCGACAGGGGCCAGAAGGGCACCGCCAGGGCCAAGGGCATCATGCACGCGGCCGCCAGCAGCAACGGCGACGGGGACACCTTCCTCGCAGGAGGCGCTCGCATCCGGGAGATCTGCGCGCTGGGGATCCGCGAGTCAGCCGACCGCCCGGACCAGGAGATCTACCTGCTGGAGATCGACGGCGAGGGGCCCGAGGGCATGGTCGACACGGCAGCCGGGCAGGCGCTCGTGGGAGAGAGCCAGTTGCGCGACCCCCAGCTCAAGCTCCGCGAGACGGGCTGGGGCATCCCGACGCGCGGGGCGGACGGGCGCGGCAGCGCCGAGGGGGTCGGTCCAAGGTCGTGGGCGAGGCCATGGCCCCTGTGACGCGCGCAGGGGTCAGGTGCCTCATCCTGTTCCGGATCGCGAGCAAGGACGTGCCCCCCTTCCTGCCGGCGCGCTGGCTGGAGGGCCTGGTCGCCATCGTGGACTCGGCCAGTGACGCGCTCGCGCTCCGCCACGACGGCGCCGACAGGGAGATCAAGATGAACAGGCAGAAGTCGGGCCACCGGGCCATCCCGCTGCTGGGCGACAGCCGCCCAGAGAATTTCCAGGTCCCTGAGGCGGCCCGGCGGGACTGGCCTGGTGTCGGCGCGAGTGACTTCCGAGCTTGCAGGCCTCTCTCCCCTTTTTCCTCCGGGCTCTCTGAGACTCCAGAGATTTCCCGTAGGTCCTCAGAGCCCTTGGCGGGCGCTGCAGACGTCGCGGGCCGCCCCGACCCCGAACGCCAGAGCCTCGACCCCATCGGGACCTCGCTAGGGAAGGGGGGGCCGGGCACGGGGGGCGGGGGCCCGGGGGGCCGCGCAAGAGGACTTCAGGAGCGACGAGGAGGAGGGCCAGGAAGGGCGAGGAGAGGTCGAGGGATGGCGAGCTGCGACAAACAGGAGCAACGGGGAGATCAGGAGGGCCATGATCGAGATCATCCGGGCCACCATCCGCAGGGCGTCTGGGCTCAGAGATCACTTCCCAGACCCGGCTCCCCAAGAGCACTTCGAGGGGCCAGCGCAGAGCATCACGGCAGCCGATGTCGACTTCATCCGACAATGTCCGGCGCAGTCCCAGTCTGAAGAGAGAGGGCTCACCCTGGGGTTGCTCGGATCGCGTTTTTTTGATCCGGCACTTTTCGACGCTGCAATTTTGATCCAGGGCCTTGTTTTTGATCAAACGCGGTCACACGGCACAATTTTGATCCAGGGCCTTGTTTTTGATCCAGGGCTTTGTTTTTGATCCGCGCATGGTTTTTTGATCCAGCACACTGTTTAGGCTTGTACAGTATGTGCGCATGACCAATTCATATATATATATGTATATATACATACATACATACATATGTATATACAGGTGCACATACATACATACAAATATACTATAACCATGTACACATACTAACATACATGCACATCCATAATCATACATCCATGTATATGATTATATACATGTACATATACACACATACAGCTACACGTATATGCACGTATACACATATTTATGCAGACAAACACATATACATACAAATATACACATATATACATATACACATATACATACATATAAACATATTTCACATATATACACATATGGAACACACACCCACATATATATATATATATATATATATATATATATCACGCCTGGGGACCACGATGAGGTCCGCGGACTACGCCTGGGAACGCGCGCCTGCGCTGTAGGGCGCGCCGCGCTCTCAAGCGCGGGGCGCCCTAAAGCGGGGGTCGGCGGACTCGCGCGCCTGGCGGCCCGATGGCGGCCCGCGGATCACGCCCCAGGTCCCCGATATGCGGGGCGGCGGCTGAATGCGCGGAGGGGGGTCGAACATCTTCTGCGCAGCGTCAGGGGAAAAGGGAGAGTCGTATTCATATTGTGTAGTTGGGGGTGCGTCGTGCTGCGCCGCCTTGCCCCCTTCCCCCCTTATACGTATCCCCGTCACCGCGTGACCTTCTGTCATCGAATGTTGGCCCAAACGTGTCGTCGGCGCCACGAGGATGGCGATGCGATACTGGGCCGCATCAGCAACCCCCCGACCATAATGCAGAGGCATCCCGACGCAGACCGTGACTCGGGCGACCTGGAACACGAGATAGCGCTATTCGGCCACTACGGATTTCTCAACGCGACGGCGCGCGGCGGCTACTGGACACGCAGTGGCTACTGGAGAACCTGGGACAATGATGCCAATCAGTCCCAGCCCGACGCTGCACATCAAACCAGCAGCAGTAGCAACGCAGCAGCAGCAGCAGCAGCAGCAGCTCCAGAACGGCCACCAAGCCCGTCCAGCAGATCGAGCAGTACCTCGAGCTCAGACCAGCCCATGCCCGACGCTGATCAGCAGCAGCCCCAGCAACCCCAGCCCGAGCAGCCCCAGCCCGTGCCGCCCGATCCGCCCATGCCCGACGCTGATCATCAGCAGCCCCAGCCTGTGGTGACTTTCGTAATTGATGATGCGCCTGGTAAGGCGATAAGCAGAGTAACGCATTATATGAACTGCCACAGGTTCGAGGCAATGTGCGGATTTCACGGTTGCAGGTGCCGTCGGACGCGCTCATCGCTTCGTGCACGTACTGCCATGGAGGTGATATCGCGTCCAGGGAAGGGGCGTTGCGTTGGCGAGCTCATCGCGTGGGTGCGCGCTGGCAGGTGGGTGCCTGCATGTGAGCACGCGGCTTACCAGCCTCCCAGGGCAGATCGGCGCACTTGCAGGAACGACGCAAAGCTGTCGCAGGCTGGGCGCAACCTCTTAAGCAGGGAGCGCGCGCAGGAAACCGAACCTGACAGCGAGCCCAATTCACCGTTCTAGGCGCACCTCCATGCAAGGTTCGTGGGAGAACGGGGGAAGGCAAAATGGAAGGAGAAATGCGTTCGGAACATGTTGTTTATGCATGGAGGTTCCACGCCACTCGCCTACAAGCGTGTCAGAGCTTCCAAGACGGGAGCTTGTCACTTGCGCGGTGGCTCGACACGAAAGCTGCAGCGTGACGCAGACTCGGTGGAAAAAAGACACACAAAAACAACCCACCACCACCACCACCAACAACAACAACAACAACATCATCATCAACAACAACAATAACACAGCTCCGTGGTTCGCGTGCCGTGACCCGGCACCCCCGTCCCCCCCTCCCTTCACGACGTCTCTCCCGTCACCGCGGGCCCCTCTCTTCTTTAGTTTCGGCCTGAGGTCGGCAACGCGAGGATGGCGACCCCCCCGACCGACCCGATTGTCCAGCGCATCAGCATCCTTGATACGTTAGACGAGCGCGCTCTTGCCATACCGCGAGGAGCTCTCAGGCCCGAGGGACGTCGACGGCGAGGCACAGCGCACTCGTCATTGCAATGAAGGACTGGGCCGTCGTCGTCGTCGCCCTCGTTTCGTCGTCGTCGTCGTCGCCCTCGTCGTCGTCGTCGTCGTCGTCGTCGTCGTCGTCTTCCTTCTCTTCCTCCACATCCCCAACCAGGACGCTGGCAACAAGGGGGAGCTAAAGGTCATGTTCCAGAAGGTGGCGCAGCAACGCAGTTCAGAATGGCAGCTCGGTCCCGAAACAGAGAAATGGGCAATGAAAATTGGCGAGCGAGCTCAAGCGATGCGCCGCGACGTCCAGCAGGCCATCACGAAAGCCAAGGATAGCGGCAACGCCCCCGAGTGGCTCGCGCCGTTCATGCAGGACACGGCCGACGAGACGGAGTGCGACGCCGAGCAGGTCTGCTATGGGATTCAGAAGGGCGTCAAGGAGTCCATGCGAGAGGAGTCTTTGCCGCTGGAGCCCAACGACGAGAGCGACGAGGAGCTGGTCCTAGCGAAGAGGCCCGACGGGTTCCTGTTCAGGATCCCAAACTTGACGAGTAAGACGTTCAGGGCCCTGCAGAAGGACAACGGACCAGGGGGGCGGCGCCCTGGAAGCATGACCGAGATCACGCGGGAGGTGGCCAAGGACGGAGCTACGTGGCGACTGATCGACGCTCAGGTGTTCCTGACGTCGCTTTCTTGAGCATCGCCAGGGCACAGGGCGCGGCGAAGCCGATGTTGCAGCGGGTCGCGACGCGCCGCACCGCAGACGAGAAGGAGAAGGCCGCGTGGGAGAGGCGGGGGAAAATGGGGGAGGAAAAGGATGGGGGGTCATCGAGTCAACGGTCGGTCAACGCACGTGCGTTGACTTGCCGTTGACCCGAGGGCCCCTCCGTTGACCCGGTGACCTCCCCTCCTCCCCGGTGGGGAAGCAAGGGCTCCCACGAGGGCGCGAAGTTATTCGCGCTTCGCGGCTCGCGGTCCTCATTCCTCCTCCCCCATCCTCCTCTTCTCCCCTTGGGGGGCGGCGCGAGAGCGCGCAGTTGTTCGCGCTTCGCGCAGCGCGAAGCGCGAAGTCAGGAGCCCTTGGAAAGGGGAGGAGGGGGAGGGGCAAAACAGCGCTCGACAGCCGTTCCGCTCCACCCCCCTTGGAGCCCAAACCCTTGGAGCTCTCGACCCAATCCCTGGGGCTGGGGCCCAAACCCTCGGAGCTCTCCACTTAATTCCGCGGTCTAGGGCCCAAGCTGGAGCTCTCGGCCTAATCCCTGGTGCTGGGGCGCAAATCAATAGAGCTCTCGGCCCGCTCCTTGGGCCCCAAACCTATGGAGCTTTGGGGCCCAACATATGGCCCCTCATCAAGTGTTTCCGTAGCCGTTTCGGCACATGTGCAGTTTTGCATTTTGGGGCTGGGTTCCGATAATGAGTCAGCAAGGCGATAATATGAGTGCAGATGTGGATTCTATTATTGAAGACATGTGGCCATGCAGGCAGCTTATCCTTGCCGACCTGGAAATGCAGAGCGGCGCGATTAACAGCGAGAACAACCTCAAGCTGCATCGGGACACACTCTTTCGCTCTTAAATTCTATGTGGCAAGGGCGCCAAAGGGCCATATCCTGGAATACGTGGGTTCCAACCGACAGATTTCACGTCTTACGACAAAATGAGTTTCAGTGGAGAACAATTGAAGTACGGCTTAGTATATTGGGGCTCGCCCCACTGGGGAGACACAAGCACGGATGGCAATTGGCGCAAATGGCGCGACTCGGCGCAATTTAAAACGAACGCGTTTGAGAGCATGTCACGGCTCTCTGGTGGAGCACTAACGCTCATGACACTCGGGGAGCACTACAAAGAGGAGTTCTGGTCGCCATTGTACAATTCAACGGATGTGCCCGATGCTAGAAGCAGCAGGAAGCTGGGGGCCTGCCAGGGACATTTCAGGCAATACACGCCATTAGCTAGCGGAGCAGAGTATAACTAACTTCACTCGCATAGGAGAGTCACGGTTGGAATGTTGGTGCCAGCTAGGTTTCAGCACTGTGTCAAGATGCGCGAAGAGGACCCAACTATCCTCGACGCGGGGGCTACTATGCTCAACACTTTAGAGTCACTCCCCTCGGATGAATGGGGCGTGGAACTAGGGGGGCAATCGTTTTCACTATCGTGCGAAATCCATTTGGCGAGGTTGGAGAGGGGCGACATCAATCAGACTGTGCATTCGCCCCCGCAGTAATTACTAGGACCGTTCTGTCTCGCGAGTGGACGCCGCAGCAAGCAACTCTGCAGTTCGTGGTTCTCTGCCCCAGATCGATACTGCATCCATTGTACATTGTTCAAGGTACTGAATTCCAAGATACATGGCGCTTCATTTTAAATTCCAAGGTACTGCGCCCCTGGTTCACTGGTCAAGGAGCAAAAAGGGTGGCACATATTCATGGTTCTGAGTTCAACAGACATGACTATTGCACAATAGCGGCCTCGCATTATTTGCCAATCGGCGCGTTTGGCGCTCGCTAGCCCAAGGGGCGCACATAGCGTGAGTCCCATAATTAAATATTGGATGGGAAAGCGGCCCTCCGCAGTACTCTCGGCAGGGCCCTCGGCCAGCGGGGCGCCAACGAGCGAGGCAAACCAGGAGGACATTTGTTTCAAAACGTTGCGCTCCCCCTCCCCGCTCTGATCTCCTTCTCTCATCCCGCTTCCTTCCTCCGATTAATTCCTCACTCCTCTGCTTGTGCTCCTCATTCCCAATTCGCCCTAGATCCTCCGATCGCCACCCGTGTCCGCCGGGTAATTCGGGCGAGGTCGACGATCTGGATCGAAATCGCCCTGTCCTCCTTCGCCCCTCCTCCGCCCCCCTCCGCCCATGTCCCCAGGGCGGCCGCCCCGTGGGCGCCGACAAGCGCGGTGACAAGTGCGGCCCCAAGGCCACCCCCTCAGAGCGGTGTCAAGTGGGGAGGGCGGGGGTCGTCGGGCCAACGGAAGATTACCCTCCTCCCCCTCGAGGTCAACGCGCGTGCGTTGACCTGCCGTTGACCCGATGACCCTCCTCCCCCTCCTCCCCCTCCTCCTCCTCCTCCTCCTCCTCCTCCTCCTCCTCCTCCTCCTCCCCCTCCTCCTCCTCCTCCTCCTCCTCCTCCTCCTCCTCCTCCTCCTTCCCACTCCACCCTGGTGTCTGCCGCCCTGCTATTCTAGCTGTGGTGGTTGTACCTGCAGTGCGCCTTCTAACGACCTGATGGGTGTCGAGCGGTGCTACATCGCGTCGCTCTGGGCCGTCTCCTTCTTTATATGTTGCGCGTCTCCCTGTAGGCTGGCGCGGCCTTGACCCTCGTCGGCGGCCGGCGCGCAGGGGGGCAGCGCCCTTCCCTTCGGCCGCCAGGGCCGCGCCGCGGGGTGGCAGTAGCCAGATCCTTCGGGTGACCTCCGCCCCCGCCCTTGCGTCTGCCACCCTGCTATAATATTATGGCATGCAGCTGTGGCGGTTGTTCCTGCAGTGCGCCTTCTTCGCGGACTGGGCCGCCCCCTTCCCTATATTGTGCGCCCCCCTGTAGGCTGGCGCGGCCTTGACCCTCGTCGGCGGCCAGCACGCAGGGGGCAACGCCCTTCCCTTCGGCCGCCAGGGCCGCGCCGCGGGGCGGCAGTAGCCAGATCCTTCGGGTGACCTCCGCCCCCGCCCTGGCGTCTGCCACCCTGCTATTCTGGCATGCAGCTGCGGTGGTTGCCCCTGCAGTGCGCCTTCTTCGCGGCGGCGACGTGAACGGCATCGAGTGGTGCTGCGTCGCGTCGCTCTGGGCCGTCTCCTTCCCTATATTGCGCGTCTCCCTGTAGGATGGCGCAGCCTTGACCCTCGTCGGCGGCCAGCGCGCAGGGGGCGGCGCCCTTCCCTTCGGCCGCCAGGGCCGTGCCGCTGAGGGAGTGTAGCCAGATCCTTCGGGTGACCTCCGTCCCCGCCCTGGCCAGTGCCCAAGAAGGCTCTAGAATATGGATGTCGTGTTCGGGTCCCCGCCCTAGCTGCGCAGAACAGCTTGCGCCTTGGATGCCAGGGTTTGGCCCTGGACGTTCGGGCCAGGCCTTGGATTTTAAAGGCTGCGCCCTGGATTGTCAATTTGGCCCTCGACGAACCCTGAATTTCCTGGGATTTCCTGGGATTTCTGGGCCGCGCCCTGAATTTCTTCGGATTCCTTGGGGCTTCTGGCCCGCACCCTGAATTGGTCAAGCAGAACGCTCCCCGCGGGCGCCGAGGCCACCCGTTGACCAACCACCTGTTGACCACCGTTGACCGCTTACTTTCCTTGTGTTTTCACATGGAAAGTGAGGTCATCGGCCTAGCGTTGACCACCCGTTGACCCGTTGACCGTTGACCCTTTGACCTCCAGGGCAGATGTTCTGGGGGCCGAATGGTGACGGACCAAATTTTCTCGGGCCGCAGTGTCGATGGGGCTCGTTCAGCTGGCGAAGCCGCTCACGGTCGCCTTCCGCAATGTTCTAGGCGTCGTCCCTCGATCCTCGATCGTGGATTTCCTCGACCCTCGGTCCTCTCGATATCGTCGCTCGTCGCGATCCTCGATCTTCGTTTCCCGATCCCCATCGGCCCTCGATCCTCGATCCTCAGCCTCCCGATCCTCGATATCCTCGATATCGCCGACCCCCTGGATCCTCGATCCTCTCGATATCCTCGATATCGTCGACCCCCTCGATCCTCGATCCTCGACCCCCTCGGGCGACTGAGCGAAGGCGGCACTCGAGGGGGGCGCCGATGCCCCATCGCTGTACCCGTCCCTTCCCCCGCTCCCCCATCCCCCTCGCCCCCCCCTCCTCGGGCCTTGGGGGCACCCCCGAGCCGAACATGCACGGCGGCAACGGCAACGGGGAAGAGGAGGAGGAGGAGGAGGAGGGGGAGGGGCTCTGGGGGGAGGGGAAGGGAAGGGGCCGACTGGGCAAACATGAGATCGGGAGGAGGGGGGGGGGGGGCGCATGGGGTGGGAAGGCATGCGAGAGTAGGAACAAAAAAACAAGCTAGGTGCGCCGCGTCTGAATTATAGGAGGGCTGGCTAAGCGCGCCAAATCTGACATCGCCCTTCCATTCCCCCCCCCCCCCCCCGCGCGCGCACACGCGCACGCGCGCGCGCGCACACAGACGCACGCACACACACACACACACACACGCACACACACACACACACGCACACACGCACACACGCACACACACACGCACACACACACACACATGCGCGCTACATCTGACATCGCACCCTCGGTAGACCCTAGCTGCGGCCCGAGCGATTTCGAAACCAGTTCGGCGCCCTTCGCGAGCGCCGGCACTAGACCCCACCGCCTCGGCGCCAGCGACACGGAGACGAAGATGCCATCGGACATGGGCACCGCGACGAAGGAGATGCCGGCCGAGAATATTCGCCTGAGGGTGGAGGTCGAAGCACTCGCCGCCCGCGTCGACCAGGGGAGCGGCAGCAACATGATCGTCGACGACCCCTGGAAGGACGACGCAGCCTACATTATCCACGGGCTGAACAAGATGATGAGGGTCCCTTTCTGGTCGGAGGATATCGGCCCTTGCGGGTCCTGGTTTCCGATGCACGTGTGCGCGGCGACCGAGGGCAAGTACAATGGCAAGTTTCCGACGATTGCGGAGTGCAGGGCCGAGTTGAATCGGCCCTACTCTTGGCTCAACGACCTCAATGTTCAGCCAGAGCTGCATATTGTCAAGCCCCCGAACTGGGGCGAACCAATTCCGAAACAGCTAGAGGTTGATAGGTGCCAACTAACCGACGACTGGATCGTCAACGGCAAGACGGCCATCTACATGAAGATCCCCCTGCAGGAGGCTGGCTACCCGCTGCACTGCTCAATGGAGAGGACAACAACGCCCTGGTACATGGACGAGAGCCAAGACCTGGACGCAAAGGACGCAATTGCTACGACGATGAGCGACTCCAGCATCAAGGACTGGGTGGCAGCGAAAAGCGCCAAGAAGATTACCATGGCGGACGTCGAAAACTTGGACATCGACGCGATCTGCCAGATGGGCTACGCGGCGGGCCTGCAGAAGAAGGCGCAGATGGCCGCCGACACGTCGGACGCCGCCCAGGAGAGCACCCTCGGCAGCCAGGGCAGCGCGGCGTCGTGGCAGCCCGTGGGGAAGTAGGCCTCGACGGCCTACCCGACGGCCTACCCGACGGCCTACCCGACACCCTGAGGTCGACGCCCTAGCGCTCACCCGCGGTGCTTTCGCTTGCAACGCATAAGAGTAACGCAAATGAGGAGGACCATGAGGAGGAGGAGGAGGAGGAGGAGGAGGAGGAGGAGGAGGAGGAGGAGGAGGAGGGGTGACACACCACGAGGCGTCGGGGCTCTCCCAGCTTCAGCCGATTAAGCTCGAGTGGCGCCATGGGCCGTCGGTCGCGGTCTCGGTCTCCACGGAGCTCCTCAGGGCCCCCCCCTGGGATGACCCTTCAGGACCCCGCTAGCAATGGCAGCGGCGCGGGCGCGGCAGACAACGGCAAAAACAATGGCATCGGCAAGGGCTCAGCAGCATCAGCGGCAGCGGCATGGGCGCAATGGGCGACCCATGACCCAGGTGCGGTCCTCGAAATGGCGGTCAAAAGCACATTCCAAAGTTGCGCGGCTGCCAACGTGCAGATGAACGAGGCGTGGAGGGGGTATAAGCGCATAGTAAGGGAGGGCTATAAACGTAAAGTAAGATATGGAGGAGGATATAAACAAATCGGAGGGAAGGATATGGGAACAAGGGATGGGGGGGCGCGCTGGGAGGGGGGGCGCGATCGAGAGGCCTACCGTGCGCAGGACATAGCGGTCAAAGAGAACAACGAAATGAAGAACACGATCAATATGCTTGGCATCAGAATTATGGCGTTGGAGAAACAGGTGGCGATCTTGATGAAACACCACCTCGAACGCAACGTGTTGTGAGCGTGCGGTGCTTAGGTCATATTGCCGTCCACTCTCTCCCCTTCCACCTGCACGCGGCGAGAGCAGTGTGCCTAGGGTGAGCAAAATGCGGTGCTGATCCCCCTCCTGCGTCCTCCTCCTCCTCCTCCTCCTCCTCCTCCTCCTCGCCCTCTCCTCCTCTCATCTTCCCTCATCCCCCTTCCCCATCCCCCATTCCTGCGATCCCATCCTCCAACCAGTAAGACGGTCAATGGGTCAATGGGCGGTCAACGCAGGCGCGATGACCTCGTAGCGCCTGAGTGCTCCGAAGGTTCCCATGGAGCCCAACGAGCCGGTCAATTGGTCAATGGGTGGTCAACGCAAGTGCGTTGACCTCGTAGCGCCTGAGTGCTCCGAAGGTTCCAATGGAGCCCAATGAGCCGGTCAATGGGTCAATGGGTGGTCAACGCAGGCGCGTTGACCTTGTAGCGCCTGAGTGTCCCGAAGGTTCCCATGGGGCCCAATGAGCAGGTCAATGGGTCAATGGGTGGTCAACGCAGGCGCGTTGACCTCGTAGCGCCTGAGTGTTCCGAAGGTTCCCATGGAGCCCAATGAGCAGGTCAATGGGTCAATGGGTGGTCAACGCAGGCGCGCTGACCTCGTAGGGGCGATGTCTGTAGCCGTGTGTTGCTCGAGAGTCTTCGCAAACCCTCGGCAGTGCGGCATGGGTGATGTGGGCGCAGTACGGGGTCATTCGAGCCGATCCTGAGATGGCGGCCGCCTATGACAGGGCCCACCGCAACCCCTACGACGAAGGAGGTGACAGCGACGAAGATGACGACCAGGACGACGACGGCGGCATGGGCGCCGACGAGCCGAAGGGCGACGGCGGCATGGACGCTGACGAGACGAAGGACAGCTCGGACCACCCGTTCGCGGATGACGGCGACATGGACGCCGACGAGACGAAGGGCGACTCGGACGCGGATAAGATGTTCCGCGACAGCGGCATGGACTCCGACGAGCCGAAGAAAAACTCTGACCTCGGGCACCTGGCAGTCGCCCCGCACTGCGACGAGTGCGACCTGCAGGGTGAGGATCGCGACGCCCGCTGCGGCATGCGCGGGCGCCAGTTCGGCATCCCCCAGGGCAAGCAGAAGGATGTCGACTTCGACAGAACCGAGAGCAAGGTGGCTGACGAGTTCGTGAGGAGCACCCGCTGCAAGAAGGACGCGCTCCAGACAGAGGTCCAACGGATGTTGCGCGATAAGGACGAGCTCGAGACGGACAGCGAGAAGCCCGAGACGGACGAGGAGCCCGAGAAGGCGATCCCAGGCGCGCCCCCGCCTGGGAATCCGTGCGACGACAAGTTCAAGAAGGATTCTGACAAGACGCTCGAGAAAAATGAACACATCTGCGGCATCCTCGTCGTCGAGAAGAGCGACGTGTATGGGGAGGTCGAGCTCGACGAGGACGGCTGGCCGATAGGTGTCGACC